CTCTGTCTATTCATCTCTCTGTTTCTTTAAGTGGAGAGTTATATGCTGGCATACCCTACACAGCTTAAATTTAACATAATTTGCGATCACTTTCAATACATTTTCTAAACAATCTATAAAAATTAATTTTTTGACTTGGTTTTTTAGGGCTAAGTCGAAGATCACAAGAGCTAAAGGAAATAAGTTCGATATATATATACATCTGATGAATACCCAGATTATATACATATATATATATGTACGTCTACCCTCATAAGCCAAAAAACTCTTGGCTTTTGGCATGTAATGGTTGTCTCAGGGTACCTCCTAGACGATCAAACCCATCGGGAGCAATCTTACTTGTTTCATACTATTATATATGTATGCTTATCGACATATGCTTGTATACATTTATATTCACAGTTAGCCATTGCATAATCTCAAGTCTTCTTTGACCTTTTCATGAAAATAAAAATGTGTTTTTCAGGTGCTTTTTTTGCGGTTTCATTTAGCCCGCTTTTTCTCTCATTTTCTCTCTCGCTCTCTAGCTGCTTGTCTCACTTTTGGGCGGCGTGCAGCGTTTGAAATGCTTGCAACAATAGCTGTGCCACAACTGCAACGACCACAAGTGCCACATGCCACATGGATAGTTTATTGTCTATGCAATTGAATTGCAGCCTACTTTGCCTTTGCCTTTGCCACATGTGTGGCATAAAAGTTTCCTAAAGAAGTGTACAAAAAACTCTAGGTTAGGTAACTGAGTGTATTCAGGGTATTCAAAGGTATATTTCCTAGGCTGTAAATTCTATTAAAAATTAATCTTAATGAAAGGACTCCATTCTGATGAATAATACAAAGAAGAAGAGGAAAAGTCTCTGTAGTGTACGCCAAATATTTGTTTCTATTCACATTTCTATCAATTTGCCCCACTGTGCTGTCTTTGCTGCATACTAAGATCTGAATTTATGCTGCTGCTGCTGTTGTTTTAGTTGTGGTTTGTGTTTGCGACATCATTTTGCAATGTAGCCACTGTGTAAAGTAGATAAAGATGAAGATAAAACAAAAAACTATTAACTATATGTAGATTAAGCTTTGCTCAACAAGTTGACAAAGTTTGTCGCCTAAGTCTTTTGTTTTAGACAGTTTATATTCCGTTTCCCGATAAAATCAATGCATGTGAGCTAAGAGTCAAGGCGACGTCGTAGAAGAAGAGGAGGCAGAAGATAAAGAGTTAGCCCATTCGCTTGTTACTTATTATGGAGGGCACACTGTAGTCTTGACTGCTGTCTCTCTGTTTGCCTAGCAATTGACTCTTCAGCCAATTCGACTTGGGTATATCAAAAAGTTTGCCGCAGGCAGTTCGACAAAGCCCCATTAATTGATCTATAAATAACAAGTACTAAGAGTGTCTTAGTTGAAACTGCTCGACTAGACGATACTCTGTATGCGAAGCATCTATTTGTGTAGGTAGCAAAAGCTGAAGACTCTTTCATTTGAAATGTTGTTTTGTGGGGAATCGGGGCAGCTATCGCAAATTAGAAGTCTTGAAGTCGTGGTTAAAAATCCAAGACAAAATATCGATATTTATCGATTATAAGATATGCGTTGAATTTGTGATGCCTACAAGAATAAACATATCAAATTTCTAGTATCTAGCTACTGCACATCTCGAGAACGCTTATAGTTTATAGACCTCAGCTCATCATACTGATCCAAGAATATATAAAGTGATCTGGCACATGTCGACATGCAAGTCGATATGCCCTGCTTATACATATTTTCAATGCTTTCCAGAGTATGCTCACGTCTTGCTTAACTATTTATATAGAGTGTTCTGTGCGTTTCGAGTGGCGACTGCCTTAATTGTTCGAAACAAATATAAATAGAGTTAGACATAAATTTTGGCATCGAAGCAGTCAGTTAGCCATTCACAAAAACTGCTCTATGTAGCGCTCTATATATAGATATTGTTTGAACTTGAGCTCTCTGCAAATTTATGCAATATTTGCATATATTTTTAATTCTCTTTTTATGGTTTGGCTCGTGAATTGATTTTATTATTTGGCGAGGTTAAAGAACTGTTAGCACTGCCCATCATTAGGCGTCATCAAATGAAGATTGATGTGACTCTCCCTTGCCCAAGTTTGAACTTGATTACCAAGACTAAGCCACATTCAAACGCTGACTTGCAGCTCCCATTTGTTTGCCTGCGGCCTCAACGGAAGTCGCTTCGAATACCCTAACAAAGGGCATTCATAATTTAATAATCGATGAAAAAGTCGAGCGTGAGGGCTATTGAAATATTTTATTTACATTGATCTTTGACAACATTAACTTAACTCTGTCATAGACTACACAAACGACCAGATTGATATATAGGAGGCTAATAAAACTAAAAAAGATATCTATAAATTTATATCTGTTTACTCTATACAACTTTTAGTTTGCTCAAAAAGTATCTAAAGATTGCAGAAATTCTACTCAATCTACTTCCTCATATTCTTATTAAGCAATGTTACCCCAGCTACTGCCTATGTAAGTCCTCAATATCCTCTTAATATTAACTCGTGATCTATTTCTAATAACTGCAACTTAATCTAATATTAAGACAATTCAGCTTTGAGGTTTTCTATCTATTTTCCTAATTTAATTCGATCTACTCCAAATATAAATCTGTTACTTCTGAGATAAGTCTCACTTGCTTCATATAACTGCCTTTCTACGTCCTATGATACAAGTCGTTTCTCATTTAATTCAATTCCAAATATAAGACCTCTTTTTCTTCCATCTTCTAATAGTTTAGTCTCTCTCGATCTTATATATTTACTTCATTCTGCCGACATAAGATATGTTTTCTAAGACAATTATAATATAATCCCTGCCTCAACAAACCGCAAAGGGTATTTGAACTTTATCGCTATCAAGATCAAATTTCTTTTCATGTTCAGCAGTTGCTGTAACTTTGAGTTGTCAACACTCCAAAGAGAACTAGAGACAAAAAATAAAAGCCTGAGTCGCGACTGTGTTGGCCGTGGCACAAATGTGCATCGACGATGCCACCGTCATATGGTAACCAACTGATGATTAATTCGCAGCTCGCAATTCGCCATTCGCAATTACTGCTATCATTAAGTGTGTTTGGCTCTGGCTGACACAGAAAGCGCAATCGAATCGCGGCACTAGACAGAAAAAGAGTCACACAGCAATGGCCATTTGTAGGGCAAACTCTGCTTCTGAAGGGCACCACAATCGAGTTGAGTCGAGAAAGTTCTCCTAATGCGATTGCTATATATATGATATATGAATATATATATACGATATTCATATAAGGTATCGTATATATCCCTCTTCTATCTTCTATCTTCTCTTTTTTTCGTTCTTCTCTCTGCTCACTTCTCTAGGGTCCCTGCTCTTTTCTTACTCCCTATCTTACTTCTTCTATTCTCTTTCTATTGCTCTCTTTTCTTCCCTTGCTTCTCATCCTTGTTGTCTCCTTCCTGCCTTCCCAATGATTAACTATCCCATCCTCTTTAAACTGCAATAGAATCGAGTTAGTAGAGACTTTCCCACTTTGCTATTTGACTGGCAAACAAATTTGTTAACTCGCTGATTACCACACAGCTCCCTTTCAGAGGCTCCTCCTACTCTGCCTCCTCCACTTAAGTCTGCAGCTGACAAATGATGAAGCTGTCAGCGTGGCTGTCTGCATTACGTAGCACCTACTTCACACACACACACGCACACGCACATACAAATCTAACTGTCTATCATGTGAGGGAAGCCAAACAACCCATCAGTTGAACGCAGGCAGGCACAGGTAGCGACATGGACTTTTACATAAATCGCCAGCACTCGTGTCTCGTGAATTTTCAGTTTTCCATTTTGAAAATGTTCAAAAATTTTCAATTTTCATGCCGGAATATTGTGCCCGCTCATCGTGGGTCAGTCGCAGCCAGTGCAGTCGCTTATTAACCGAACAATTTGCAAGCCTGGCCATAAATTGCAACGTGGCATCGCATTATGCAATATGAAACGAGGTGGCGAGGAGGCACACAAACCTTTATTGAGGGCAAGTGCTAATTAATGCAACAGCATGCCGCATGCCGCATGCAACTGCTTATCAGACAAAATATGCAATATAGCTATATTGCCATAGACTTGAATAGCATTGAAAATGGTTTGAGGGAGGCCAGCTATGTGCCCAGCCAGACTGCGGTCGAGTGTGCCCCGAAACGAAGCCACCAAGAGATATGATTATTAAGCCAATTTCTATGCATCGCTGCCAAACAGAATTGGCGAAGCTTTGCAGCAGAAAATTTGGCCGCAACACATAATTGAAAAACATATTTTGTGGCTAACTTTAAAGGAAGATGACTTAAATTTATGAAATGTTTGCTATACACAAGTAAAAGTGTTCTAGTAAGGAATGCCCGACTAGGATATACGCAGCAGAGAAAATGTGCAAAATCCGACATTGGAAGCTACAGATAAATAGTCAATCATAATTAGTCTCTAAGAATCAATCATAATCACTTTCTTTGTAAGCATTAATCATAAGTAATATGTAGTCAGTCATAGTCAATCATAGTCAATCATAGCATAGTCAGTCTCCAAGAACAATCAATCATCAAGCATAAATAGTCTCTTTATAAGCATCAATCATCCATCATATATAGTCAATCACAGTGAGTTTCTACTAAGCATCAATTACAAGTGCTCAAGCATAGTCAGTCCCTAAGAATAATCAATCATTAATCATAAATAGTCTTCTTATAAGCATCAATCAACTATTATATATAGTCAATCATATTAAATCATCAATCATAAATAGTCAATCATAGTGAGTCTCTAATAAGCATCAATCATAAGCGGTCAAGCATAGTCAGTCTCCAAGAACAATCAATCATCAATCATAGATAGGCTCTTTATAACTATCAAGCATCAGTAATATAGTCAATCGTAGTCAATCATCTATCATAAACAATCTTATTAAAATAAATTTCTTTCATTCCTTTGCACAGTTTTCCGCGTCTTAGCTGAATGTGTTTGCGTGGGCGTTGACCATGCCCATTTGCAAAAGTACGCCGGCCATGGCCACTAGCAAAAAGACGGCCTCGGATATATCGTCGGATCATGTGACGGAGGCAGCACAGGTGAAACGGATTAGAGAACAGGCTTACTTCAATTCGTACGACTTTGATGCAATCGAAGTGTTGCCCTATGACGAGGACAACGACGACGAGGAGGAGGAGGAGGAGGAGGAAGATGAAGACAGCAACAGCCACGCCCCCATCAAGTACGCCTATTTGCAAAGATTGGGCGCATTCTTTAATCAGAAATCCATAGCTGATAGAACAAGTGGAGCAGCGACAGCAGCAACTGTTGCTGCTGCAGCGACAACAACTGGCAAGGAGATAGCAACCATTGCTGCTGCTGCTGGTGTTGGTGCTGGTGCGACGGCAACTGTTGCGCCTGCAACAAACGAAAACTTTTTATTGCCGCGCGCCATGCTGAAGTATTCATATCACAGGTGAGTGTTGCAACTGCGACCTTCACGCGCGCTCGCCCTTGAACAGGGCAGCAACAAGCAACTCGTCGAGTGCCCTACGCAACAGCAAACAGCAAATTTAATTATGTGCAGCCACACTTGAAAGATTCCAAAAAAGCATTTTCATTATGTTACGTTGAGGCAATTAGCGCGGAATTAAGCTAAATCGAATCAGCTGAGTGAATTAAAAGAAACTTATGTCTAACTGCTGCATTAAGCTGTGGGCTCTTGCTAAGGGCTTTGGGCATTGCGCATACGCCGCGTGGTGCGACGCTCTTTACGTTTTGTACTCGTTCAGCCAGTGTCTCACAGAGGGTATATTGGTTTTTATGTACAGCTTGTTTTGAGGTGCATATATCTATATATCTATATATATACATATATATATATATATATATATATATATTATATAATAATATAATAACTAAATCTTTAGCTATATCTTATAATCGGAACAGCTGAAAGGCACAAAGAATGCCACGAAGTGTTACTAAGGGCAGCTGGCATTGCGTTGGCTGGCATTATGTCTCGTCTACTCTATGTCTTATACTAGTTCACTTAGAGTTTAAAGTGGCTATATTAGTGTTCTGGCAATATATATATAAATATCACAGAGGCAGCCAGTCAGAAAATATGGATTTGTGCACATATTGAGCTAGTTTCCTTGCGTAAACGAGTATTATGCAGCTGAGTATGGTCGATGGAAAGACTTTTAATAGCAATTTTAGAGCACATTAAAAGAAAGTTGATAGGAAAGGATCTATACATATGCATATGCATCAATTATATATAAGCTGAGTGAGAGCGAGAGAGATAGCGCATGACTTGCTGCAGCCGCTGTCAAGTTTAGTTTTCCATACCTTTGCAATTGCAGCTATGTAAATTTATAGCAAGGCGACGCTACGCGACGCGATGCTATGCGAAGTTCAAGTTGCACGTTGCACGTTGCGCGTTGCAAGTTGTCTGTTGCAATGCGGTTTTTTGGCGCCTGTCGTCAGCCTTCACCTCTTTACGGCAGCAGCAGAAGCCACTTGACTTGCCAAACACTTGACAACACGTCGGTCAACAACAGCAGCAGCAGCAGCAACAACAACATTGAATGCAACTGCTGCAACCAGCTGCAACAATTACGTTTATTAATTGAAATTAAAGAAGCCACATATGAAGCAGCCTCCACTGCAGCCAGCAGCAGCCTCTGATGCTGGAGGTCACAGCCAGTTTTGGTTTGAAATATTTGTATAAGCACATATAACTATATAGCTGATCGTGCATATATACATATTCACATATATGTGCGAGGGCAGTGTGAAAAAATTGTTTACTTCAGCTTGTTAAAGTTTGAAGATCAAAAAGATATAAATACGAATTCATTTTATATTTTGACTATATATCAAGCTACCCTCGCATATACATTTTATTCCAATAGATATATACATATTTAATTTTTGCAATTCATCTGATCGCATCTTAAAAAATGTTGGTTATGCTTACATTAAAATGAAAGAAGAAAAATACAAATTTACCTATATTCAAAAATATATAAATTCAAACTGCCCTCGTTTGTCTTTTATAAATATTTTTGATTTCAAAGATACTAAATGAGAATAGCAAACTAAAAAAGTCGAAAAGATACAGATAATAAGATACACATATATATTTTTAATACTTCTTAAACGACCCTCGTCTACATTTCATAAGCATTTTTAACTTAAATGCATGAAAACAGTTAGACAAATTATAAAAATAAACATTAAATAATGTTTTTCTCTTCTTATTAGTTGAAAACTCTTCAGGCTAACCTCGCACATGCCCAGATATACATAAATATCTCTTTAAATATATGTATATCTGTCTACTATTTCCATCTCTAGCATCAAGTCGTGCAATTTATTGTAAATAGTTTCTTCTTCTCGCCATATATAAACAAATCTTGATCGCAGATGTTTAACGATTTAAGTCAAGCTCAAAGATAATGCCAATTGGACAGCAGATAAATTATAGAGAATCCAATTGGGAATAAACTCTTTTTTTAATTGTAAATTGCAGTTAAATTTATATAAGAATATCTATATCAAATTTCCTTTTTCTAGCTACTAGTAATATAAATTTATCAAAACTAATATACTCGCTTTATCACTTGTTGAACGAGTATTGAAAGTGTAGCAAAAATATATTTGAAATTTAATTTTGAGAGCTTCGTAGAGCTGAAAGTCCATGGTTTATGGCTCGTGGCTCATGGCTCATGGCTTACATTTGATTTCGCATTCAGTAAATCCTTCCAAAATCAAGGTTAATCCAATATAAACTTGATACTATATATACATCTATATAGATACATAGCTATATATGTGTGTGTTTATGTATTTATATAAGAGTTGCTTATTGCCCTTTCCAATTATCTGCTGTGCATGTTAAGCAGCAAATGGAGAAGGTTTATAGCAGCTATGCTTCACAATCTATATATATATATATTTATATATATATATATATATATATATATATATATACATATATACGATTATATATATTGCAGTAAATATATATAAGAATCGAAAATATATATCACCTATAGGTTAGGGCGCTAGAATCAGGTTGAGTACAAAGTTAACTTACTCTAATGCTTTATACGATATATAATGGATATATATATACTGTATATCGTATATATTTGGCAATTGAATGCGATTACCTACTGATGAGCTTAGAATCGATTTAGGTAAAAATTATAGCTTTGTAGAACTACAGCTATTCTATTTACGATATAAGTGATATACGATATTCCTATTGTATATTTAGTGTCATTTCTTTGGCAAATCACTTCAACTACTCTAGGTTGCCTATAGCTATGCATATACGATATTCATGAAGTAGATCGTAAATGTAACATTGTCATTTGTATGGCAGGCGATTTCTAATGAGTAATGGAATCAAATTAGTGTATTGCTACAGCTATGCGGTATACGATATACGAGTGCTTACCATATTCATGCCATATACCGTAGATTTATCGACTGTCATTGTAAGGTAAATCACTTCTAGTGGATCATAGCATCGTATACGTAAGAAAATTTTCCACTAATATATACGATATTCACGCAATCCATTGTACATATACGATATGCGCTACTTCCCAGTCAAGTGTCGATTGCATCAATTTAATCGAGGCTCAACTTATCCAAACGCTTGATTTGTATGCAATATATTTGACGAGCTTTTAGCTATATGCCAGGGTCAATGCCTCGTTTAGGCACACTATATAGATAAATAGATATTCATATATATATAAAGCTATTAGTTTGATTGATTTATTAAATACACGTAGTTCATATTTAAATATATATATAAACAGTTACTAGTTAGATCGAAGGACGCATTGCTGCAAACTAAGCCAAAAAGCTGTGTAATTTGTTTTGGCAGCCAAGTCAACAATAATTAGCAGACACACACAAACACACACCTAGAGAGAGACACCTGAATAGACAACCGTACAGCTAGCGATCTGTAGTAGCCCAGGTAACAGCCCCGTGTTCCGACATGCAAACGAGGCTGAACATTTTAATTAACACGGCTCACAAATAAATACGCAAATATTGCAAAATATTTTTCATGCGATGGAACGTTAACCTTGTCCATTACATATCGAGGCCCAAAAAAAACCCAAAAAACTACGAAAAAATAAATAAATAAAAAATATATAAAAAAACAAGCCCCTGCACTAGTCCAAACTAAACGCATCGATAAACAAGCTAGTCTTAATAACCAAAGCTCGAGTTCCCAAAAAAAAAAAAAATTAAAACCAAGCCTCGGCCCAAGTCCAAGTCCGCTCGATTCGATACGCTACGATCCAGTTGCTATAAGAACGGCGACACGAAGACCGTTATTACGCAATTTCCCAGCAATTTTCCAGCTTCAATTTGTATACTCAGGCTATGCCCATTGCAAGTGCTTGAACAGGGTATACTGGCTTTCTGGTTAGGCTTGTTAAGATCAACAAGAGTTCACTTGGAGAGCATTAGAATGAGGTCCAGTCTAGTCTTATCCGAATCAGACTCAAGCAAAAAATTATAATTTTATAAATTATATTATATAAATAATAATTATATATATATAAATTATAATCATATATATATACTAGCTGCATGGTACCTGCGAGTCGGGCAAACCCAATTAAAGCACTCTTACTTGTTCAACTGCTACTGCTGCTGTTGACCCACTGCCCAAAGTAAGACTCCGAAACGATTCTTAAATAACACAGCAGCAGCTGCTTTGCCCATGGGCAAAGGCAGCCCGCTGAGGCCCAATGGGAGAGGATGCAAATTCGAATCGTGGCCTTAGATCTTAGCTTAGCCAGGCAGACAATTAACTAAGCTACTACTAATCACACAGCTCATCTTTGTAGCTTCTAGATCAGGTTAAAGGTAATTTAAGAAACTTAACAGAGCGAAGACGGCCCACTCTTAAAGTAAGATTATAAGAGGATATTTCTGTGCAGCTATATATTATTTCTAGTTAAGGCAAAGACAATTTATGAATGAGTTCGGACCACAAACTAGTTTTTGCTTACATATAGATGTTATAATATAAGTCAGCAAACAAATTATAATGCCGAATTGCTTTCATTCTGGCTGTGATTTGAACCCTCGACTTTGCTTAGCTGACTTGTCTGGCAAGGCTTTGTCATAAGTTCTTATAATGTAGCTTCGTCTACTTGATCCTCTCAAAATATTTTCCGTCTAAAAGAAACTCTTAACGAACTCTTGCCAAAATAATCGAAAACAAAAAAATAATAATAATAATAATAAAAAAAGCAATTGCAACAGTTATTCGAGCTGAAATCCTGTTTAGAACGAGTTTCTTTTGATTCCGAATTGAATTTTGATGCTGAATTTCAAATGTTGTTTGCCAAATGCTTTTTGTGTCTCTGTATGTGTGTGCTGTGTGTGTTTGTTAGACAGCACTTAAAAATGCGTTAAAATGCAAACAATTTATGCTCTTTGAGCTCAACGCTTGAGCATTCCAGACGCATTCAAATAAGTTGGAAGTTTTTATTGATTTGACGACAGCTGCCGTCCTCTGTGCCATACACAAAGCAGATATAAATGAGGCGCGTGCCACAACGAGAGCGAAAAGAAAACTACTAACCCACATACACTCACACACACTCACACACACATAGACACACTCATGCCACTTGGCACAGTGGGCCGGTTGGCCATTTGGCCGGTTAAACCACTTTCATTGCGCCGAGAGTTTCCCTTTCAGCTGTGCTTTATTTTTATTTTATACCCATTCAAAGTAGGGCAGAGAGGGTATAATGGTTTTCATGCAAATTTATGTAACCAGCCAAGAAGTAGGCTAAGTCAACTCCTTAGTATATTGCTTATAAGTTCAATTGAATATAATAAGATATAATAATAAGATAATAAGAGTATAAGAGTTGAAAGTACTAGAGAGTATTAAGAATTGATCTAGCACTGTATAAGTATAAAGGAAAATGAGTATAAGATGAGTATGAGAGTATGAGTATAAGACAAATAGAAACAACAGCCAAAACCATCAGCTCAGTTCGTCTTTTTCTAAGACTGTATAAGAATATTAGAAGACGATCTAGCTTAATTCATTTGTATAAGTATATTTGAATCAAAAGCTCAGTTGAAGTATAAAAGTACAAACATGAACAAGTAGAAGAGCAGCAAGGTACAATAACAAGAGATAACAGAAGTATAAAAGTATAAAAGCATAAGAGTATAGGAGTATAAGAATTAAGTATTATAGGAATATAAGAGTATAAGCTGAAGTTGTTCGCAATTATAATGCAGGGTATGTTTGAGTCGTGCATGCCTGATTAAATCACTCCAACTTGCTTTTTAATGCACTTTTTTCAACAGTTTTTCTCACACGCATTTTCCTTTTTCTCTTTCTATGAAGCAGCAATGCGACAACTTCAATGCCATTGACAGCATCGCTCTCTGGTCTCGATAGTCGAGAAATAGCTGGCACATCTCTGAGCAGGCCAAATGATATCAAGCCAAGTGTGGCAGCATCAGCTGCAGCAGCGATACGAAACAAGAAACGATCCACAGCATCCAATGCCAGCAGCACACAGACCACAGACTCCGGGCTGGGCAACACAGCAGCAGCAACAACAACAGCAACTGGAGCAAACGCAGCGGCAGCAACTGCCACAGCAGCAGCAGCAACTACCCGAGCAACTGCCTCACATTATTCGACAGATAAAAGCGGCTCGTCTGGTTATTATAGCTCGCATGTGTGCTCCACTTACTCGCTGGACGAGCATATCTATTGCGAACCGGTCATAGATATCCTAGAGGCGAGCGAGCCAGAGAAGAGCAGCAAAACAATTGCAGCCAAGCAGCGGCCGCAACTCCAGCTGCCCAGCAATGAAGCAGCGATTAGTCAGCATTTGGCTATGCAAGATGTGGCAACGGAACAGGTGCTGGCCAAAACACCGGAGCTCGTTCAGAATGGACAGCAGCAACAGCAGCAGCAGCAGCAGTTGCCGCTCTACAGCGACAAATTACGAATTTTGGAGACGAGCATTGAGAATTTGGATAGACATTTGAAGAGCTTTCCCTGCCTGTCCTACATGCAGCAGGATAAAGCAGCAGCAGCAGCAGCAGCAACAACAGTTGCTCCCACCTTGGATATTGGTGAGAAGCTGCGCGTCTACAATCAGCTGCCTACGATAAAGGAGGGCTATGCGACACAGCGGCAGCAGCAGCAGCAGTTGGAGCAAGTCGATGATTCTTTGATGGACATCGATTTAGATGCATTTCTGCTGCAGCCCAAACAGCAGCAGCACCAACAACAGCCGCAGGCGCAGCGGCAGCAGCAGCAGCTGTTGTCAGGCATTGACAATCCAAGTTTTCTGAATGACCTGCAACAGCAACAGCAACGTCCAAGACAGCTGCAACAGCAACATCCCAGACAGCAGCAACAATTGCTCGCAGGCATTGATAATCCAGCATTTCTCAGTGATTCGCAACAGCAGCAACAACAATTGCAGCTACATCAGCAACAATTGCTGTCAGGTCTTGACAATCTCAATGCTTTGCAGCTCGAAGAAAACAATTATAAATGTGCCAAATATATAAACTCCTGCCCAGAGAATGCCTATCGAGTGGAGCAGACAAATTCGACAAATTCTTCTTCGGCCTATGCCAAGCGCTACGAGGACCAACTTCACTTTCAAAGCACCCGAGAACTGCTCGAGGATGTGCGTGATAAGATTCGTCACTTGACACCTACGCCGACTACGCACATACCGCAAGAGCTGGAGGGCATGATTGAGACGTTGAAGAACGAACTTGAATCGTATTTGCAGCGCATGAATCAGCACAGCGAGTTGGAGCTGCGACAACTTTGCAGCGGCCTGGGACGTCAGCAGCATGTGGTGCGTTTGCAGAATGCTCTGGAACGTAGGCGCAGCTATGCCGGGGATTCGCAATTGAATCCCTATGAATCGGTGCGAGATGGGGTCCTAATCTCGGCGAGGGAACAGATTATGACCATTCGCTGTGCCAGTGATCCGAACTTTAAGATGAAACGCAAATCAATCACTGAAATCTTTCCGTTGGCTGAGTGCTATGTTGAGTCTACGACTACAGCTACGCCCACGCCCACGCCCACGCCAACAACAACGCCCACTTTAACACCCTCGCCACCACCATTGGAGCTGAAGACCACAACGACAACAACGATGATCACCCAGATGCAACGCAATCTAACATTTCATGCAAAACAGTCGAGATCCCGTCTGGGCAATGGGCTGGATAAGTTGGATGACAGCGCTGCGGAATGGCATCGCAAGAAGCCGAGCATCTGGGAGATGTACTACGGCACGAATCGAATGCATCAGTCGCTGTTGGGCAAGCAGCGGCACAGCGGAGGTGGCGGCGGAGGCGGAGCCGGAGGAAGCGGCGAGCTGGTCATCACCAGCGCACATCCAACGCTCTCCTATGTAAGTAACGCTGCACTGCTCAAAATTATCGGGAGAGACTAGCTCAAAGTACTATATAGAGAGTGGTTTATAGTGCTGTGAACCAGATGTAGGTAGTTCTATATAGTACTCTGCTCTAGATCTGTCGTATTCCTTTCTATATAATACTCTGACCTACAGCTGGCCCAAGAATAAAAGTGGTTAAAATGATATTTCATTGCTTTGATTGTAGCTTTAAAGACTTAGTCCTTCCCCTTCCTTTTCTCTTCTCCTCTTCCTTCTTCACCTCTTCCTTCTTCACCTCATCCTTTTTCCTCTCCAGTGCCTTTTTTTTCGCCACTTCCTTCTTCTACTCTGTCTTCTCATTTTCCTCTTCCTTCTTAGTCAGCAGGAGCTTCTTCAGCTCTTTCTTCCTCTCCTTCCTACTTTTAAGTATGTTCAGGGTATCTCTAAGTCGGATACTCTTGACTAAAGGGTGCTTAACTTGAGTTTATTTTAAATTTACCTCCGTCTTGTTGTCTAAAGACTTACGGCAAATGCAACAGTTTGACGCAATTCCCAAGATTTTTGCTTGACTCCATATATATTTAATTCAATACGATATCGAATCTGAACAGTAGCCTCCTACATGCGGCACACGCACATCATTAATCATTAATCATGATGCCAATGCACGAACCAAATCGAACGCTGGCCATGACAGCGATAATATCGCCTGTATCGCATAATAAACTTCAATGAATTTAACAATAATAATAATAGTAATAATAATGATGATAATAATGACGTCAATGCTGTTGCTGCTGCTGCTGCTGCTGCTGTTGACGTCCGGTGTCGGCATCCGCTGCTGCTACTGTTGCGGCTTCTGCAGCACCAGCAGCAGCTGCTGTTGCATCTACTTATTGGCGGTCACATTGCGGCCAAGGATGAAATTAATAAAAGTTTGCACGAACATGCAGCCAACAGTTTTAACTTGGCCAATCGATGCACTCTAGCCAATTTAATGAATGATGCACTCGCAACAGCCGACAACAACAGCAATTCCCGCCCTCGACCAAAACTGTCTAATGCTAGCGACAAGCTGTCAGAGTACCACTCGAAAAAATAAGAAGCAAACAAGTAATCATCGGGTATATGCGACTGCAGAATACTCGTTCATGCAAGAACTACAGCTGAAATAAAGACAAGTTTCAAGTAACTATCTATGAAGAGAAGCTGAGCTCAGTCCATGTTTCAAGTGTATATCAATGGAGTTGCTTAAAAGTAAAAGTTTTGAGTTCCAGTTGAAAATATTTGTCAACAAAATATACCCCTTTTGAGCTGGATGAACGGGTATAACAATAATAATAAACAGTTAGCCAATTGAGCTTTTTGGCACACTTGACCTCCTCGATTTGGGCTTATAGCTATTTTTTTCACGTTTAGTGGCAATTAGCCAAAAGACATTAATCATACGCAACGCTGGCCAAAAGCAACAAAAAAATGGCTAACGCCCAGCAGCGCAGAGCAGTAACAGTGCAAAGGCAAATGCAACTGACCATTGGGTAAAGTTAAGAGTTTGACCCATATGAAGTAATATGCAACGAGCATACACTGCAAACAATTGGGCACTGGTCAAGAGCACTAGTGGTATATAGTTATAGATGTGGATATATAGTTATAGTGGAGTTGAAATATTCTTGTAGCTTGTTACTTGTATTTTAAACTAAAGTTAGAAACTTGAAGGCATATGAATCGTGCATACACTGTAAACAATTTTTGCGTGCATGTGATGGAAATTAAGTTGAACTGTTTATGACATCCAAGACACACTTCTATTCCAAGTCTCTGCTCTATCCATTAGTAACATTGATATCTTCTTTGCTCACGCTGGCAAAAGTTTCCGGCTTACTCATATATATATATATATATATATATATATAGGGATCAAAAGTCATCTAGGGAAAATAACTCCTTAAAAGTGAACTATGAGCTTTTACTTCCGCTTGCCAACCTCCAGTTGGTCTTCACTATCTGACGCTGCATCTACTCTTCTCTCTCTAGCTCCCAGTTGTCTCGCTTACTCCTCTGGCGCTTACGTCAACATTTGATGAGTGCTTAGCAAATAGAACTCGATTCTTTATACAAATATTGCAATCGAGGCCCATTTGGCTGCCTGTGCCTTAGTTTGTACCTATTATTATGCAATATCCGCTGTACTAATGAAGCAAAGCTCTTGGGTTGCGGGGCCTTGTTTGGTTCGTCTCTCTGGGCCAATGCTAGGAGAATCTCAATGAGTTTTCACTTTCAATGCCAATGCGAAATAGTATTTATTATTGTTATTTTTCGTTGACTCAGCTTGGCAACAGAAATTGGTAAGCGCACGACTGCGGTTTATTCACCTTAACTGACAGCTGTATATATAAATATATAAACCTCTTTCTGTACATTTCTACCTATTTACTAGTCAATGTGCACGTTCACAAAGCGGGATTTGAACTTGAGGTTTTTTCTGCTGCTGCTGCTGCTGCAACTGGGCTTTAATTCATGTCAAACAGTTAGTGCAAAAGGCAAAGTCGACAATTAAGAAGCTATAAACTGGTATGCACGACTAAAAGATACCCTGCCCACCAATTGAGAAAGCCATAAACGGGTATGCACAACTTAAAATACCCTGTAACACGCTGGGGATGCTTCAATTCAAATCGATGTTATAAGCTGATTATTTAATGATGAATGATGAATGATGAATGATGAATGATGAATGACGAATGACGAATGACGAATGATGAATGATGAATGATGAATGATGAATGATGAATGATGAATGATGAATGATGAATGATGAATGATGAATGATGAATGATGAATGATGAATGATGAATGATGAATGATGAATGATGAATGATGAATGATGAATGATGAATGATGAATGATGAATGATGAATGATGAATGATGAATGATGAATAATGAATGATGAATGATGAATGATGAATGATGAATGATGAATGATGAATGATGAATGATGAATGATGAATGATGAATGATGAATGATGAATAATGAATAATGAATAATGACTGACTTCATAGAATTATCGTACATTGAGTAATGAATAGCAAATGATAATATTGGCTGATAAAAACTGAATGACAAATAATAAATGAATAATATATGATGAATAATGAACTATGAATTATTAATGAAGAATTATATATAAGCTAAAGGGTTTGTTTATTTCTCATGTATGCTATAATTACGCTACTTCACTCTAAGCACATTTGCAATGGTTACAGGGTATTAGCAACGTATGAAGAAACGATACCGGTTAACCTTAAAATTCCGTTAAGAAAAGAAGGCCTGCAGCATCTCGACGAACAGGTAGCTCTGCTACCTGCTTATCTGGCTGACCAACTGACCGCCATTGATTTTGGAGCCCAGATAAAGTAACAACAGCAGCAGCAACATGCAACAAGTGGCAACTAAAATAAGAAACCGGTGCAGCAGGCCGCATTTTTGTGTTGCCCTACAAAACGAATGACCTTTAAGGACGTTTCCACAGCCGACAAGAAGGATGCTGAGCAAACAAACAAACAAACAGACGGCAAACAGGCTGACTATAATAAGTAGTTAGTGCTACCTCCCCCTCCCCTGCCACCTCTGCCTGACAACTCTGTTGGGCTACCCTCGCAAGCTGAAAACTCGTTGCACCGCTTGGCCGGCAAATAACTCGTTTGCTGTGTCATGAATGCCAAAATGAAAATGAAAATGAAAACGAAAACGCAAACAGAAATCGAAACAGCAAAAGCAAAAGCAAAGCGGAGACAAAGTTGCTGTTAGCTGCAGTTTTTTACTACTATTTAGCCGTCGCTGCCACAAAGTGTTGCAATAGTCGTAGCCGCAGTCGCTGCCGCTGCCGCTGCCTTTGCCGCTGCCGCGTGCCCAATGAGAGCCACCCATCAAAAGCAGACACCGAAATCGAGCTGCCAAAAAAAATGAAAAACAAACTTGGCTCGTTTTGTCCAATTTCCATTTGGCCAAGAGCAAGCGACACAAATGGACAAATGGGGAATTGTCGCCAATTCGTTCTCTTTGATAGTACCCAGTTCCGAGGCGAGAGTTGCTCGACTCGCTAGACTAGCTTCAGCTGTCGCCAACTCCAAACTACCTCGAACATTGATTGATTCTGTCTAGTTACGAATAGATAAGAAAAACATCTCAGCATCTACTCACCTTGATAGTACCTGATGCCGAGCTAGAGCCACCGTACAGCATCTGAGGGAAAGCTATTCAGCATAATCACACTGGTTATAACTTAGATTCAAATGGAAAAGACCTCTATCTCTATCTCTATCTCTATCTCTATCTCTATCTCTATCTCTATCTCTATCTCTATCTCTATCTCTATCTCTATCTCTATCTCTATCTCTATCTCTATCTCTATCTCTATCTCTATCTCTATCTCTATCTCTATCTCTATCTCTATCTCTATCTCTATCTCTATCTCTATCTCTATCTATGTCAGTTATATAAGCCTAATCTGTTCATAGCCTACAGTTCAGCACGGAAGCTGCAGTAGCTCAGCTGCAATTATTACTCATACGTCACGAGCAACATCAATGAAACACCAAATCTCTTAGCTCAATTAGCTGACCACGGGGCGTCTATTTGTAATATGCCACGCCTTCTTCAATCCTTTGCTCATTGACATTTAGAGCGCTGCGTGAATTACCCGTTGATTGACTCGCTGACACACTGACAAGATATGAAATTGGCTACCGTTGGAGCGATACCAGGTGCACTAGGTGTAATACATCCTCTGCCCCTTGCCTCCTGCCCCCGCGCGCGTTTTCCCTAACTTACTTTCAATTGCTTATTTCATGTAGCTTTTCCGGCGCTTTTCTTGTTTGCGGCTTTTCGCGTGTGCAACAACATTTCGTTGTTGCTTTCAGTTAGTTATCGTTGAATGCTTTTTCAATGCTGCCACAAAGCAAAAATGTAAGGGGGATTGCACGACTTGAAAATACCCTGACCGCTAAGCAGATCTACTGATTCGCTATAAGACTGGGTTCTATAAGCAGAATATTAATCAAATTTTTAAGGCATATATATGTATATATATATATATATATATATATATATATATATATATATATAAGTATATATGTACCTACTGGTAATATATATATGTGTACATACTTAATGGTCACCCAACCCAATATACCCTTTATAGCCATTTGCAATGGGTTCCAATGAAAATGCCCTATAAAAAAGGTGTAAGAAACAGGTGTTGGACAATTGCATAATCATTTCGTATGCACAAATACATACATATACATATATATATCTTCAAGTCTGTCAAATTCTCAGACGGCGCTTCAATTAACATAAAAACGTTAATTTTATATCTGCACAAAACGAATTATTGCAAATTATTGTAGATTATTGCATTGTTTTAAGCTACAAGTTAAGAGATGTTTGAAGTCGATGTCCGAAAAGTTAGTTTACTTTAAAGCTCAGACCAGTGCGGTTTAGTGAACTTGCAAGTTGATTAACAATATGGGCAATATTACCCTAGTTAAACAGGACAACCAAATTGTAAGAAACAAATATATTTAAAAGACTAAAGAAAAGTGTTAATAAAATGAAGTAGAAATATTTTATTTATTACTCAATTAACTATCATTTGAAAGCGTGTTCGAAGTAGTTCTTACAGATACAATATTTATATATATATTTGATTGGTACAATACTCGTGAAAACGACTTGATTAGCTATACACAACCAAAACTTGAGGTAACTATCGATTTCCCTACGGATCAACTGAAAACTCTATAGATACACTCAAAAGAAAATAACTCTAGAAACTTTGGAAACTCTGATTTCCCTGAGAAACTTACCCTACAGTCAGAACTATGAGTTCAATAAACGGAAAATCACGCTGTTCCATATTTTTAGCTATTTTACCTAAGCGTGAATGAGTAATATGCCGTCGTTTAAGCCGTTGCCGCACTGCAATGTCTTAACTTGTTTTCATATATTTTGCATTTTGGGTACTTGCCCTGAGTACGTGTCATAATTTGTCTTCTCTCTCTCTTCAAGTTTTAAACTTGGCCAACTTACAGGCCAAAAAAATATAACATGTATATATATATATATATATTATTTATATAGTTGCTTTCAATGTCAGTGAAAAACGTGTGTTGCACATTAAACGGGGCAACCAGTTAAATTCATAATCTATGTGGATTTTCTTTTCAACGTTTTGTGGCTATTGCAAAAGGTTAGCAAATCAAAAATGAAAACGGGGCAGACATCAGCTGTGCCAATTTAAGCCAAGGTTAGCCATTGGGGAATTTACAGCTTCAGTTCACAATATATGCCTATCTATTGATCGTCTGCATATATCGTACATATATGTTAAACGAATCAATATTAACAATAACTCTCATCCAATATTCATAATTTATTGCGCTGGCATCATTTGCAAATTAGCTAAATCACATTTTGGGGCGAGGCCTACCTACACGCACCACACGCTCACCGAAATTCCCAAGCAAGTGTGAATGGAGGTGTAAGTGTAATTGTAATTTGCACTACAAACTCTTCCACTCTGGCTCCACCATTCGTTCGCTCAGTCTCTATGAGCACAGTATTGCACAAGCTCTGTCTTTTTTCTCTCTTTCTCTCTCTCTTACTCTCTATCTCTCAGTCAGCCAACTACAATGAAATATCCTCTTTCTCTCTCTCTCTCTCTCTCTTGCTTATTCACTCTCCCTCTCTCTCTCTCTTTCCGTTTTCTTATATATTCTTATAATTAGCTCTCTCTCTCTTCCCTCTTCTACCTGTTCTCCGCTTTCCTATCCGCCTACATTTGTATGACTTAATTAAATTAAGCTAATCCCAGTATTATTTGAAGTAGCTTTAAATCAATTATTACAATCCAACAGCTTTGCATATTTTAGGCACTGCATTCAAATATTAATTTCCAGCTTTGCTGTAATAACGTATACATACACACATACATATGCACTTGGTCTGCTTCGCTTTGATTTGCTCTGCTATGCCCGGCCAATAAAACCGTTATAAACGAACACAGGCGCACACACACACGCGTAACGTTAATGCGGTAATTTTCTCGTCAACGTCGACACTTCGATTACGTCGTCTTCTCAAAGTACTTTGACTGATAAACAACAATAACAATAACAATATCAACAAGCAATCGTAAAAAAACAACAACTCCAAACGAAGCGTAGCTAAAGCTGGGATGCGCAAAGAAAAGAAGCCGGAAGGCAAAAACGGAGATACCGCAAAGTTGTTGCCATTTTAATTTCTCATTTTCATATCTCACATTAAATGTTATGTATGTTTGTATATGTATATTTGTTTGTGCAAATGCAGCGAACATTGATAGCGAACGTAATAATCGGGCACGAAACGCGAGATTTTGATCACCGAAAAACGAACCGAAGACAATGTGCGCAAAGGCAACAAAACAAAAAAAAAGTAAATAAATAAAATAAGGTATCTCACACACAATGAAGTGCAAAAAATGTGAATTGTACAACACTTACACAGACAACAGACACACACGCCTACAATAATGCGTGCGTGTGCGTGTGTATGTGTGAGCACTCAAACAAAATTGAATGCCCTTTTTAATGACTATATTGCATATGCGCAAAACTTTCACTTGCCAATATTATTGAAATTGGATATCCGCGGAATTTTGTCGATCATAATTGAGCTATTATAGAATTTTGTTGCTTACAATTTAACATCCGGTTACAAAAAGGCGACCGCCCAAATATAGTATTATTGCTTACTATTTCGTCAGTGAGTTCTGTATAAACTAAAGAGGTTACACCAATTACTTAACATTTTGCATGAGAATCCAGAAACCTGTTACATTAACAATATTGTACCATATAAACGAACACACACACACACATGCACATTAACATGCATATCAAATATTCAAGGTTGTGTCGCTAAAAATTTTAAAACCGGCATCAGAAAAAACTTGAAGATTCGCAAAATACAACAACAACACCAACAATAATAATCAGTGTCCGTTTAGTGGGTCAAATTTGTATGCGTTGCGCCCTTTTTCAGTCTGTGTGTGTGCCACGCCTTGAAGCTATTGCAAAAATGTACGTGTTTATAAAATGTGCAATACTTTTGCTATGATTTATGTTAAACAATTTGTAGCCAAGCTCAAATGCTTAACAAACATAAATCAAGCAGAGTAGGAACCGGAGGGCCTTAGCCTAAAATATAAAAAAATATTTAATTCAGATCAACGACAACATCAATGTCAAAGCAATCGTCAGCCATCGGTCACCTTCTTCATCTTCGTAATCGTTGCTGTTGACTGACCCTACCTAACACTACACACACACACACACATTTATTATTGGACGCGTGCATAATCGATTTACATAAAAGAGTCAAGTTTTCAACGCCAAATGCTAATTAGCTAATTCAGCTTATATAAGAGCTGTAGTGGATATTTTTGGTTTATTAGGTACTCGAGTCAATTAACCGATGTCACTCTAATGATCATGCTAGCAGCGTATCATTTGAATGCTAAAATATTCATATTTAACAAGACAGAGTTGTGAGAGTGAGAGTGAGAGTGAGAGTGGGATCAACAACTTACAGTTCTCGCCTCGGTGACGTCACGTATATTGGGTTTACATTATCGTGTTAACAGCACACCTATGCATAAGCTATCTATATATGTTAGGGACAGCTGTGACTGAATGACAGGAGATTTGCCCACAAAATGAGTAGGCTAACAGCGCTAGCTAGTCATGTTAAACAATACTATTAGACAGCTGCTAATAGCGAGGTCAATAACTTAATATTGTGATTTTTAATCACGTCATATGCGCAAACTATTTATGTTAGCTGATCTATTAAGAGAGTTAATTGTCGTTTATTAACAGATAATTTTTCATTGCAGCCATCGTCCAGACCCGAATCAGACTTTACGCTCGACTTGCCGCGCGCCGAACAGCTGCGCTTGAAAATGGAAAAGGAGAAGAAATTCCGCCAAAGATGTCGTCTGATAACAACATTTCTAAGTCTCGTATTCTTTCTGTTAACCGTTATGGTTGTCAGTTTGGTATTAACGCGCGGCAAACGTATGTTTGGCAGCATGATATAGCCAATCGGCCCAACTCTAACTGAACATTAGCATAAACAAATATATATATAAAACCTACAAACATATTAAAGTGCCGTAGTAATCGATAGATTCTAATTAAGCCGCTACATGAAACAAAACCGATAACAACTAATTTATAGTATTTAGCTCTAGCTTACTCCTCACTATAATACACTACAAATAATTTTGGGGGGGGCAACATGCAGTCGCAGTATTTGTTAATAAATTATTTTTGTGATCTTAGATGTTAAGTGTTTCTGTGTAAAAATTCAGAAGGAAATATATTAAATCGTCCATCACATATACATATATGTATGCTTATTGTATTAGATTTAAGTGTGAGCTAATCAAGTGTAAATTTCTGTATCAATAAATAAAGCAATGTTAATGGAAACAACAGAGTTACTTAAGGGTTTTTCAGTACATACATTTATTATTTAACTTTTTTTTAACTGCATATATATAAATACAGTTCTGTATATGTAGACTATTTTGTTTATCGTTTATCGAACTTCTTACATACATAGCTTTTGGTATCACAAATGTTTATTCTTAGTTTTTTTTTGTTTTGAGAAAAATGCGACGAGAAAATCTTAAGGCAAATTTTAACTGTTAGGCATTTTGTTAGTAACTATGATCCACTAAAAAAACACACGTTACAATTACAATTAGAATATATACTGCATGAGCAACTGAGAAGGCAAGCTGTTGTGTTTTTCTGTTTTAAATGAGAATCTTTCTGTTGGCTCATAATATGCGTATGCTTTGCCTATTGACTTCGAATAGGGTTTGATCCTCCTCCTCGTCGCTGTTCACATCTTCTATAGCCATTGGGAGCGGGGTTAATTCCTGATTGGCTCGATCGCCCTGTACGCCGTATTTGCGCTCAGCGCGCGATAAGCGTAAACTAGAAATGGAAAGATAACCTTATCAGTACGCGGTTATGCGAGTTTAAAGTGTGGCTTATATATATATATATATATATATATATATATATATATATATATATATAAGCCACACTTTAAACATATATATATATATATATATATATATATATATATATATTATAAGACAGTTACATAGCAGTATGCCGGTAAGCAAAACACGAAAATGATCGTAAACGTCACAGCTTTACTTGCCCTGCTTAGAACTTACCGATATATGCGTACGATCAGCAGCAATAATGCAGAGCTTGTTATGCCCACTAGTATATAGAACACAGCGGCGTACGTATCGGGAAAATCATTGCTAGAACGTTCGATGTGCACCTCCTCTTCGGGCAATTTACCTGGAACGTCGACAGTTCCCTGCTTCTGTGGTTTCTCACTGATGACCACAACTTTATCTGTAGCCGATTGGACAGTTGCCTGTGGCACGTTTACTTCTTTTGTCGCTGGCAATATGGAGACTAGTGATAGTTCCTTTTTAACGGTTCTTAACAACCTTGTATTGTTTTCAGTGGGCATTGATATTGTTATTGTAGTTGGTGTAGTTTTGGGAGCCTCCGCAGCCGCAACACTTTGCAACAGCAACAAAGCCAACACGAAAGCCGCTGGCCATAACTGCCAACAGTACATAGTATGCTCCATCTATATTATTCTTAATTTAATTTGCGTTGAGCAACACATATAAATAAAACAGCTTGCAATTATTTCTGACGTTTACAAAATGTTGCTGATCTGTTTTTATTTGATTTGCTTATTTATTTACACTAACTAGGGCCTCAAAAATACTTATTACAATATCGATGTAGCCAGGGCTGCAAAGCTGCCTACAACTTAATTTGCGGTGCTGCTAATCCGCTTGCTTTCAGTGGTGCCACATTGCTTTAATGTACATTGCCATGTTTAACACAGTCTGGCAACGCTGAGCTTTTTTAGTTGGAAAGAGTGATTTGTACAAACGGTAAAAAAATCGTCAATTTAGTTAAATTAAAGTTAAAAGCACTGCAAATTGTAAAAAATACAAACAGCATTAAAAAATTACTGGAAACAGGTAAATTGCTAGTAAAAGTTGGCGCACTGAAAGAATTGGCAAATTGTGTGTGTGTGCCTGTGAAAATGGCGAACAAAAGATGAAGAAAAAGTACGTGTGTGTGCTCCAAAAGGGAAATCACGACGTCAATGATTAAACGACAGTCAAAAAAATGCTAGATAGTTAATTTCACCTACTCATTTGTGCTGAAAAATATACTAATAAACGTATTTGTTCAGAGTGCTGTAATGAAACATGTTTTATTAAACCATTTATGTACATACTGTGTGCGTGAGTGGCTATGTGTGCGTGTGTATGTTTATTTCAACAGGAAGTTATATTATGCCTATGCACACACACATACACAACGATGCTACTTTTTCTTGCATACTAAAATGCATGTATATGTGTGTGTGTGCGTTCAAGTGTGTGTTTGTGTTGCAAGGGTATTCAGTTTTATTTATGTTTACTGTTTTGTGTTGCTTGTAAGATTTGGAGTTGCCATATCGTATTACGAATTTTTTTTATCATACATAACATTAAAGCCCAATATATGCATAAGCACTCATACACACAAAAGCATACTAACTATGTAGCTGTATGCTATCAATGCTATCTACCCTTTAAAATAAGTAGAACGGGTATTAACCGCGCACATTATATGTTGCGAAAGCTTATTGTATGTAATTGTTTTGAGTTTAAGTAAGTTTTGCTTTTTTTGTATATATTTACAATTGTATATATATATATTTCATGAATTCTTGAAAATATATATATGTACGATTAAGTGAATGGCTTAATTACAGAGTAGAGCTTAGCTGTTATATGTTTGTATGCAAAAGTAATTCTTCAATTCTGGTCTTCAATTCTTTTTCTTTTAATTAAAAGTTCGTGGCCTACTTAAGTTAACTGATTTTCTGTTTATTTGCAGATTGAATTATATATATATATATATCTATATGTATATATATATATATATATATAGATATATAGACAGACATTTTATATCTCACCCATAAATTGTAAACACTTGATTTGCCAAAATTCCGACCAAAACACCCAAGACAAGATCAGCAGCCAAACGACGTAATCAGGACAGTCAATCCACGTCCCAGTCGCATGCGCAAGTTGTCATTCAACAGCAGCAGCAGCAACAACAACAACAGCAGCAGCCACATCAACAATTGGAAGGCAAACGAGATTTGCCATCGGCTGCCAAAATGAACCGTTCGAGCAATTCACAAACTACACAGCGACTGGTCAATTTGGATGACATATGGAATGAACTGGAGGGGGGCATAAGACAAATATTCGAGCATGAAAAATCGTTAACGTGCATACAATATATGCGCTTCTATACGCATGTCTATGACTACTGCACAAGCGTCAGCGCCGCACCGAGCGGTCGGAGCAGTGGCAAGGCTGGCGGTGCTCAGTTGGTGGGCAAGAAATTGTACGATCGCTTGGAGATCTTTTTAAAGGATTATTTGGAAGATCTGCTGACCACCTTTAAGTCGATTAGGGGCGAAGAGGTTCTACTATCACGCTATACACGACAATGGAAATCGTATCAGTTTTCCAGCACCGTCCTGGATGGTATTTGCAACTATCTCAATCGTAATTGGGTGAAGCGTGAATGCGAGGAAGGACAGAAAGGCATCTATAAGATCTATCGCCTGGCTCTAGTTGCCTGGAAAGGTCATCTCTTCCAGGAGCTCAACGAACCTGTGACCAAAGCGATACTCAAATCCATTGAGGAGGAACGACATGGCAAACTAATCAATCGTGCCCTCGTCCGTGATGTCATCGAATGCTATGTAGAGTTGAGTTTCAATGAGGACGATACCGATCCCACCGTACGCAAGTTAGCAGTCTATAAAGATAACTTCGAAGAGAAGTTCATAGCCGACACGTATGCCTTCTATGAGAAGGAATCGGATGCGTTCCTATCGACCAACACGGTCACCGAATACATGAAACATGTCGAGAATCGTCTCGATGAGGAGAAACAGCGTGTTCGTGGTCGTAACTCAAAGAATGCTCTATCCTACCTGCATGAGACAACGTCAGATATATTGAAATCCACATGTGAACAGGTGTGTGTAGCAACAGTTCGAATATAAAATGTTATACAAATCATTTAGAGATTTTTCCTCTAGAGTGATCTGATTAGAAGATAGTGGACGGGCTCTTCGGGATAGCATCCACAATTGAATGACATTTATTTTTAACCATATCGGTTCGACATTTACACATACTCCCTCTCTTCATAAATTCCGTATTGAAACCATTATTAAAGCCAGCATCCAAAGCGAAATGTGATCATAATCTCACTAGCCTCTTGCGTAATTTTACTAAAAGGGTCTTTACCGAAGACTTCAGGACTAATCATGGTCATTTAATGCAGCAAATTGTTTCTCCTTGAAAGTTTCATGCAATAACTTCTCTATGGAATATTAGAATGTTATCCTGGGTGTCCGCCGCAGATATGCAATACAGATAGATATTTGAGGGTTCCTTTATATTGATTAGACTAATAATGTTTTCCCCTCTTTTATTTAGGTTCTGATTGATAAACATTTGAGATTATTCCACACTGAGTTCCAGAATCTATTGAATGCCGACAGAAATGATGATTTAAAGCGAATGTATTCTCTGGTCTCATTGTCGCCGAAAAATTTGGAGCAATTGAAGAAAATTCTGGAAGATCATATATTGCAACAGGGCACAGAAGCTATTGAGAAATGTTGTACGAGCGATGCGGCCAATGATCCGAAAACTTATGTACAAACCATACTCGATACACACAAAAAGTATAATGCACTCGTGCTAACGGCATTTGAAAATGACAATGGATTCGTTGCGTCTCTGGACAAAGCATGTGGTAAATTTATTAACTCAAATGTGGTGACAAGGCCAAATAATGCTGGCAAGTCTCCTGAATTGTTGGCCAAGTATTGCGATCTATTGCTCAAGAAGTCATCGAAGAATCCCGAGGATAAGGAACTAGAGGATAATCTCAATCAGGTGATGGTCGTCTTCAAATATATCGAGGATAAGGATGTCTTCCAGAAGTACTATTCAAATATGTTGGCAAAACGTTTAGTCAGTCACACATCGGCATCGGATGACGCTGAGGCAATGATGATCTCCAAGCTGAAGCAGACATGCGGTTATGAATATACCGTAAAGCTGCAGCGTATGTTCCAGGACATTGGATTGTCCAAGGATTTGAATTGCTATTTCAAGGAGTACCTGAAGACACAAAATATAACATCGGAAATCGATTTTGGCATCGAGGTGCTATCCACCAACGCCTGGCCCTTTACGCAAAATAATAACTTTCTATTGCCCTCGGAATTGGAGCGATCGGTGCAACAGTTTACCATATTCTATTCGGCACGGCATTCGGGTCGCAAATTGAATTGGCTATATCATAAATGTAAGGGTGAATTGATAATGAATGTGAATCGTAGCAATTCGGTCTATACCCTCCAAGTGAGCACGTTCCAAATGTCGGTGCTGTTGCAATTCAATGATCAGCTCAGCTTCACAGTGCAGCAGCTATGCGACAATACGCAATCACAACTGGAGAACTTGATACAGGTAGAGTATAGGAGCTTATAAGAAGTATATATATTAATGAAATTTCTCTTTGTAGGTATTGCAAATACTGCTCAAGGCCAAAGTGTTGACCTCAGTTACCAGCGAAAATGTTTTGACACCGGATTCATCTGTTGAATTGTTTTTGGATTATAAGAGCAAGAAACGTCGTATCAATATCAATCATCCATTGAAGACTGAGTTGAAAGTGGAACAGGAGACTGTTACCAAACATATTGAAGAGGATCGCAAACTTTTGATTCAAGCGGCGATCGTACGCATTATGAAAATGCGCAAACGTCTCAATCATACAAATCTAATATCCGAGGTCCTCAATCAGCTATCGACACGATTTAAGCCGAATGTGCCCGTTATTAAGAAATGTATTGATATATTGATTGAGAAGGAGTATCTGGAACGTATGGAGGGACACAAAGACACCTATAGCTATCTAGCCTAAGTTCATACATAAATTTATATCTATATATATATATATATATATCTTTCCAAAATTATATATATATATATTTTGCCAGCCACATACTAGAAGAAGATATCCAGGTCCAAGATATCGATTAGAGAAGCCTGCCAATGTTTCCAATGTTTCCCAAGATCTGCCCCCTTCCACAAATCCGCTCATCGATTCACGCATTTAGAATGCGTTGCATTTCATACTCAATATAAAAAATCATCCTACGATTTTTTGAATTTTGCGAGTATCCCCCGCCCCCCGCGTCCATATTTCTTTCAGCTGTGCAAAGGAAGGAAATTTCAAACATATATAGAAATGTGCAAGCACAGATAAAAAATTCATGTAGCTCTTCTTTATTCATTTATATATATAATAATTAATGAGTTTTACTTTTAGTTCATTTACGTTTTTATAATTTCTTTCATATATACTTACATACATACATTAAAACACACATCTACATATATATATATATATATATATATATATATATATATATATATATATATATATATATATATATATATATATATATATATATTACGGCGAAACAAATGTTAAGTTCTAAAATCGAAACGAAATATATAAGTTGAAACAGTTATTTAAACGATACGTTTAAGATCGGGCCCCCACCCCCTCCTTTTTTAGTGATATCGCAAAGTTTTTTTTGGGAGACCTATTGAACTGTTTTTTTTTTTTTAATAAATCCTGTTTTTTTTAATCTATATAAATCGGCAAATGAAACAAAACTTTTGACGATCGGCGCGTTGCAAGTTAAATAAACAAAACATAATTGTGTAAACATATTAAATAATCCACGAAAACTTTCAATTATTTAAATGGGCAAATATAATAAAAATTATAATGTAATAAAACAATATAGATTGTAAATTTGCCAAGTTTTAAGGCTTTGCAGCTTTACCAGCGCTATCACGCCCAAGATGAGTGTGTTTCCAAAGATCATATAATTGATATTCGATATTTCAAGTCCCTAGCATTGCTCGACTGGGGTACACCTGGAACCCAATGTAATTCCGCTGTTTCATACATTTTGTAGACAGGGCTAACTATAAAATATAAATATTGGATTAAATGGGCTGTATTAGTAGGGTAGCTTTCATTTATTATATACAACTATTTTGTTAGGTACATGTCTATATTCTTAGATTATTTCTATAGGTAGGTGTATGTTTATGTATTTCTTTGATTGTGGCATTCTTATAAAACTATTAACAATAGAGATCGTCAAATCTTTTAAAGTAAAAGTAAGTTTTTTGCTTGAACAGCAACTAGTCCTAGGTCCGTATCCTTAAGCTTGGTATTAAGTCGTACAACCATGCAGGGCATACCAATTTGGGATCCTCCCATTTAAGAATTCATCTTTATTCTTTAGGTAACATGCCCCGCGATTAATCCTCATCCTCCAACGTTAGCACCTTTGTCTGGAAACGCATACGTTTCGTATTCTTTACAACACCATTGGGCAGCAAATTGGTGCCTGGTTTCTCACATGGCAGAGCATTCCATAGACGCTTAACACGCACCACAGCAATTGAATTGAAGTCATATTTTTTGTTGGTCGACGCAGGCGTTGTAGATTGAGCAACTGGCAAGACGGAGGGAAGCTTACGCAGCTTGACTACAGCTTGTTTTAAATTAGAACTGCTTCGACTGCTCACACTCGTCTTATCCTCCTCCTCGTCTGCCGCTACCGCTGCATCCACATCAGAGTTGACATTCACCTCTGCCAAGGAGCAGCCTCGTTTCTGTTGATGCAAATTTTTTGATTTAGATGGGTGGGAGCTGTAATCGAAAGTAATTTAGCAATTTTCAATTCAGCTATTGGAACACTTTCTCACCTCTCTTGAGTAATTTTATACTCATTGATGGTGGGTGGCGCTGCAGCACAGATCTTGCCGGGCTCCTCGGGATGGCAGCCGTAATCCTCGCCCTTTAACCAGTTGTCGTAGCGCTCGGGTTGAAAGTGTCGGACAAATGTTTCCATTGATATTTTAACCATATCGCTACGACATCTACAAATGCTCGCCCTCTTGCCATACTCAATCCAGCGCTTGGAAGCAAAATTTGTTGACTCCGCACCATTAAAGCCATGATTAAAGCCAGCATGATATCCAAAGGGAAATGTGATCATTATCTCACCAGCCTCTTGCGTAATCTTATTGTAAGGAATATTATGTTGACGCAAGACTTTGGGACTAATCATGGTCATTTTATGGCGCAAATAGGCATTGCATTCCTGATAATTCTCCACGAAGGTTTCATTCGCCAACTTCTCTAAGCGTCTGCCATAGATCGGAGGTATTGCATACCAAGTTTTTGGGGCTCCAAAGTGTAAATAGTTTATCGAGTACAGATCCATATCTTCTGTGTGCCATGCAAACGAGCTCTTCCACATGCCAAAATATAGATATGCCGTATTAACACCATCAATTTCAATGCCATAGTCCGTATTAACCAGGTTTAATATAGTATCTAATCTGCCAATATTCCACACACTCAAATCTTCATCGCTCAACGTGCCCTTCACATCGGCTGCGTATAGCGGCGATATATATGTGATATTCTTCCAGTATTTGCGCTCCAGATCATCGTAATCGAAGTGCCTTGGAGTTTGATGCAGCTCCGAGTTGGCCTTCTCCATAAACTGTCGCAGTGTCATCTGACGGCGTTGCTGTATATTGATTTGCTGATAAACGCCATGAGCCCTACAAACAGTACAAATTAACCGAAGAGCTACGGCTTCTACTCTGCACTCACTTACCCTGTTACGACCTGACATATTGGCGCTGGTATTGTCATATTTATATTCTCAATATCATAGCCTGACCGACGCGGCTTCCATTCCACGGGCGGAATAATTTTAACCAAGCCAGCTTTATGTGCTCCACGTGATTCAATGTATTCGATATACTCGGCGAAATTGACGAACTCCTCGTAGCTTGGGCGAAACGTCATGATACGGGGTATACTGTTTGTTTGGGCGCCTTCATCGCCAAATGATAAACGAGTAGACATATTTTATACAAAATGTAATACAAAACAAAATAACAAAACAGTGTTGACAAATTATGTTGACATTTTAATTGCCAGCCAGTACTGAATAATATGTATAGTGTTGACAAATCTCTCAAAAAAAAGGCGCCGATTCAAATATGAAACAATTAAAACAGATAAATTTCATGTGAAGTGAACTGGTTGTATATATTCAAATTGTTCATTTTATTAATATTATATATTGTCTTATACAGAATTTTTTAGGGCTAAATCAAATGTAACACTGAGCAAAATACAAAAATTGGTGGCAAGGCGGGTATAACAATTCCATTGCTTGCTAGTGCTGAATAGTGTTTATGGTAAAGTGTGTTGGTAAATTACTCAAATCAATGGCGCCAACTTAGGCATGCAAAAAAAAACTTTTACCAGGTGTGTATTAATGTTCGTATTGGTTGCTAGTTCTATAGTGTGTGTGTGTCATGTGTGTTGGTAAATCTCTCAAATAGAATGGCGCGCTTCGCGCAGTGGATTCAAAAATGAATATTTTAGCGAATTTCAATATTTACTGGCTTAGTTGGTCTAAGTGATATTTAAATTATTCATTTAACAAAAATGTTAATGCAATTATTTTTCAGTAGGAGATAAAGTAATGCACATCTCTGTTTTTTGTTTGTTTACTTGGAATTAATATAATGTTTTAGGTGTTAAGCTTTAGCTTTAATGACACGCTTCTACAGAAATTTAAATAATTACACAGTACTTGCTGGGAATCCAGTTTAAATTTGTTTTAGATAAGATTAAACGTTTCAAATACTTAAAATACGAAGTACACTAAAAGGAAAAAATAATTGATAGGTGAATTATCGGATAAAACATAAATTAATATTTATATCAAATATGTTTATATCAGTGTTTATATCTTTGACACATAATAAACCAAAGTAATATATTTAAATTGCTATTAGTAATAAGATAAATCGCAGTTATATGTGTGTCTGCTTTATGACTTAATAGTCGTGATAATGACTAAAGTTAAACACAGACCCTATCTCAAATCGGGCACTCGAGCAGATAATCAAAGTGAAATGAATTCTTGTTGGACGTATAAATGGCACAGGTGTAGCCAATTCATGTTTCAGTCGCTCAGCAACGACGCGAGATTCAAGTGAAGTATTAATGGCAAATATGAGTTCTGAACCAACGGCGGATAAATCCACAAAACGTAAGTACAAATTTGTCAATGAAATGTGATTAGAAAGGAGACTAAATTAAAAATCATGATTTACGCTAATCTTTATTGATTAGATAAAGTAAGGTACATTTTGTTTCATATAAGTAAAATAATCCAATGAAGTGCACAAAAAAATCAGTTCATTAAGTTCTTCTAGAAGAAAAGAACATTTCTAATCAGCTGGTATAGGTTATTGATACGCGCTGCATGTCTACACAGATTGAGTTCGTCCACTCATAAGCCGACATAATACGGAACACTTCGTACGCTTCTATTATCTGTTTGTACTATATGCTCCAGACGTTACGGCTTGACCAGGAGATACCCTTTACAGACTAACGAGCGGCCATTTCACAAATTGATTCAGTATCAAGAAAATAACAAAAACATTGGTTATTTTATAACCTCGACCTGCATGTGATTTATCGGTTGTTTGTAACACGTATACGTTACACTCTTACAATCTTATACAGACTAGCAGACGGACAGATCTATATCTTGATCTTAAGGCGAGCACTCTTTTACTCTTAAGCTCAGACTCTTAAGTTCTTAAACTCTCATAAAGGCTATGAGGCACACTTGTCTTGTGTCCCCCACTTATATTACAACTCTTATAAAGTTGAGCGGACAGCTACTGTTGGTATAGTACACTTTTGCTCTTTGAGTCTTATAATTTCAAACGATTACACTCTTATACTGTTCTGCTAAAACCACATGTCAGTTGATAATGATATATATGTGCTTCGGCTACGCCGGTTTGAGCCTGCTAAGCACATTATTATACATATTATACATATTTTCAATGGAGGCTAGGGTATAAAATACATTCGTCCTGTATACGGTGCGGTAAAGATTACGCGATTATATACAATTGTGGAAGATATCATTTTACCGGCTTACCACGCCTCCTAGGAGCACACAAAAAAGTTTTAGAAACTTATCAAAAACAGATATGTAGATGATTATATATATAAAACTTCATGTTTTTAGCTTTGAACGACGTGAACGAGTATTAACGAAACATTCAAAACGTATATCAAGTATCTCTCTGGAAGTAACATTCTGATATATATACAAACATATATGTTATATATACATACATATACATATATATAGATATCTATCATATATCAGGATGTCAGCAAAGATAAGTAAGTCTTGCTGCACAAATAAAAATATTTGCTCTCTGATTATCTATGTTTGCTAAGTTACAAATAAATATTCCACTTCCAGTTCATATTTCCTAGAGCTAGCTCCATTTCTCGATTGGTCCCCCTTTGGTCGCTCCACTGTGAGTGTTAAATTTTCCATTAGCCTTTTGTTTTTTATTGCTTTTGCATTGGCTTGCGTTAATGATAATGATAATGACACAATAGTTGCTAATTATAAAAGATGTCGAACGCCCCGGTTATTATCAGAGTGCACTTGAAACACAATTTAAATGCGTGCAAAAATAAAGCCTAGCAATCTAGTGGAATAATAATTGAATAACAAATATTGGCACAGCTCATCGAACAGTCAATAAGTAAACTCGCAGTCCAAAGCATCTAATAGTCTCACATTATGGTCTATTCACGGAGCAGCGAAAGGACTCCACTCTTAGTTGAGGCTCAGCTTAGACATTTAGCTAGTAAATATAGTCACTAATGTGTCTTATAAATAACTAAAACTTTTTAAGTTAGTAAAAAACTAGACTGATCACAAATAACAAATAGAACGTCCAACGTAACCAATTACCAATGACCAATCACTAATGAGCAATACCTAATAGCAAAGATCTAATAAATAATTATTTCAGCCAACAAGTTTGGTGCTCGTCACTGGCAGGCGATACTCTTATTTTTGGGTATGATGATCAATTACTTCCAGCGGGTGAACATCTCGGCATCAATTGTGCCAATGACACAATCAACAGCTGATGCTCCTTATTACAATTGGGAAACGTCCCAAAAGTCCTTAATACTGAGCAGCTTTTTTTGGGGCTACGTGGTCTCCCAGGTTCCATCAGGTGAGTTCAATTGAGAAAGAATACAAATTTGTGCACTTTCATTTGCCTGTGCTTAAAAGGTCCGGCTTAAAATATTACCGTTAACCGCTAGTTTCCAGTGTTGTTAGCCGTTCTTACAATTACCATGTTACAAGTTCGAGCGTAGCCAGAAAAAAAAACCGTAATTTTAGTTAGCGTTGCCACTTTGTCCACTAAGAATTCGTCGTTGCCACATAATAAATGAAATTTATTAATTTTTCGTTACAGGTCTGTTGGCCAAACGCTTTGGCGCCAAATATGTTATTAACTTTAGCACGGCTATTGGCGGCATCTTGTGCTTCTTTCATCCACTTGCGGCCGAAGGTGGCTGGATTAACGTTTGTGTGATGCGCGTGCTAACTGGTCTTGTTCAGGGCAGCATCTATCCATGTATGCACACACTGCTGTCCAAGTGGGTGCCCCGCACGGAGCGTGGTTTTCTCAGCACGGCCATCTATTCGGGCGCCCAATTTGGCACAGCTGTCATTTTGGTTAGCAGTGGCGCCATATTCGAGTCCTCAATGGGCTGGCCGGGTTTGTTCTATTTATCGGGCGGACTGAGCTTGGCTTGGGTACTGCTCTTCGCCTGGAAGGGTGCCAATGACCCGGCCACATCGAAGAGCATTTGCAAAACCGAGCGAGAATACATTCAAAGTCTTACGGGCAGCAATAATAACGGACAGGTGAGTGTACTTAACTAGAAGAGACTCTGCGTCTGGTGCAGGGGCTACAGCAATGCCTATAAGTACTAATACATACTGTTATACTCTTATATATTGTCACAGTCTAATATACTGTTATACTCTTATACTCATGGACTCTTACACAGAGTGAGAGTTGTCATGAGAAGCCCAAATCGACACTACTTGTAATATAAGAGATATATTCAGTGAATCTTTGAGATTCTGACTCTTATACTCATGCCTATAATCATTTTTATATATTTTCTTTTTCAGTCCCTCGCTGTACCGTGGAAATCAATCTTCACTTCGCCGGCTTTCTATGGCCTGCTGGCTGCTCATTGTGGATTCACCTGGGGCTTTTATACGATGCTAACAGAGATGCCCACCTATATGAGCAGCGTGCTCAAATTGAACGTTAAGTCGAATGCGTTGCTTTCCTCACTGCCCTACTTTGTCATGGGCTTACTCTGTTTTGTCGTTAGCCCAATTTCGGATTTGCTTATAAATCGAGGCACATTGACAGTCACCACAGCTCGTAAGGTGTTCAACTCAATTGGTCAATGGGTACCCATGGGTTGCCTGATTGGACTTGGCTATATGACGGCTAATGAGAAGACGGAGGCCATTGTATTGCTAGTCTTTGCTGTAGGCATCAATGCCGCCTGCTTCTGTGGATATCTCGTGAATCATATGGATTTGTCGCCAAATTTTGCTGGTCCTATGATGGGTGTTACGAATGGATTGGCGGGAATCACATCAATCATAGCACCTTTGGTAGTGGGTGCCATAGTATCGGATGAGGAAGATCCAACTCAATGGCGTGTGGTATTCTTCATCACCGGCGGCGTCTATCTGCTGTGTAATGCCCTATTCGTAATCTTTGGCAAGGCTACGATTCAGCCATGGAACGAACCACCAAATATGTCCAGCACAATGACATTGCGAAAAAATTTACAACTCGATTCGAGAACCCTGGCTCCAACAGGTGGCAAAGAAGATCGATTTTAAGTTTTATTGATCGAGTTCTATTAAATTTAAAAATTTGTATATATGTTATTATTTTAGTTTGTGTAAGTCTAGCATAGTCTAAATTAATTTTGTAATTAATCATTTTGATACAATAAACTATAGACATGTTCCGTAGCCTAAATAAAGTTTACCTCATCTAAGTCTTATGATAAGACATATATAAAGACCATCAAAAGAAAACAAAATCTACTATTATATGAAATATCATATAAGTTAAGATGAAATTGTTGCTCCAGCTTTAGTAGTTCCCAAGTTTTATAAGGCATATTTGTGGAGAACGTGAATTGTGAACTGCTTGCAGAGATAAGTTTGAATTAATATCGTAAAGGGTGAATATGAGCACATATATAAAACTTTTGTACTTCCGACTCTCAAGGTTCACAAGCTCCACGAGTTTATACTGAGAAAAGCATGATTTAGCCATAAACATTTTTGGAACGTGCTGCTTAACATAATTTATTGCGGCCCTAATTACAAGGCTTAAACTAGAGTGTAATGTACTTTTAAGACACGCGCTATATACATGACAATAGCAATATATGACTTTACGAGAGAGGTTCGAAAAGTTCTCACAATAAGAAAATGTATACATTTATATTTAACAAAATTTGACATTTTTTTAAATATATACTAGAGTATTTGTTGCTAACTATTTTGATTACACAAAGACAAATGCCACATGCATCAAGAAGACAGGCTGCCGGAAGATAACTTCACACAACTTTAAATCTGCCCCCGTAGATGCCAATGGTATTTGACGCTGGGAATCGCGGGTCTTAAGGTATTTATCTCCACGGCAAATATTTATAAATGTAAACAAATAAAGTATATCATAAAATGTCTAGTCTGGCGGCATTTATCACATGAATCTAAATGGATATAAATTCTTGAACCTCTTGATTATTATTTAAACTTTGCTTCCTGCAACTCCACTTCTCTAAGTTGGTTATTAATGCGTTTAGCTGCTTTATTAGTGGTTAGCATAATCCAAATGGTAGCTGCCCAACTGATGCTGAGTGTAGCAAAGAGAACTGGAATATAGCCATTGGCATCTCCTACAGGTATCTCAGCTATAAGTGGATTTTCTATATTGAATTCCAAATGTAATCGTTGCCAATTACATTTCTCCATTTCGATTCGTTCTACAAAATCAGTTGCCTCTTCGTTTAGGCAGTAAAACTTATCATATTCATCTAGTAGGGCCTTGTCTATGAGTTGCTTATCGTCATTCGTACAGTTGAGATAAAGTTCAGGAGAACTTAGTTTTACCTTGGCCAAGGTCCTGCAATAGCTATATACAGTATATATTTGATTAGATTGTCAGTTCTTACCTTGTAAGACTCGCTGCATGATAGCGAAAATGAATGGGCAATTGTATTGGCTCTTTAATCTTTGTTGATCCACGTAGAAGCACTGAGAAGGGTTTCGCTTTTTCAGTTATGATTTCAACGTCAATGAATTTTGGATACTGCGCATTTATCTATTAAATAAGATTTATTTGTTATTGCTTATTTTGGAAGGCTATTAACTAAGTTAAAAGTAGTTGAGACAGACTATGTTGATGGCTGCTTCTTGGTTGCGCAAGTGATTATTACAGGCCATTATTTTGTAGTACCTGATATGCTGGTAAAGAACAAAAGCTCCTTCTCGGCCAACACATGATCATACACTAGTATTTTTAATTAGTACATGAACTCACGTATCACATAATCTTGCCATAGCATTACCAACTATTACAGGGTACCATGGAGCTCACCATTTTCAAGCGTTGCAATTCGTCCAGCTCATCGGTGCTAATATAAACGGCTGCCGGAAGCAGTTGCACGACCATATATTCACAATTCAAGTTTGCAATTGTTTCAGCGAACTCTACAGTGTACTTTAACTTTCTAGTTAAGAATTTTAATATATATTTGTTTATAAAAATATATTTGATTTATGCAAACCTATGCATGCCGATGGGGTCCATTTCTATGCGCATTATGCTTTGATGCTTCGCATAGCAATTAATAATGTTTACCAACAGCACAGCAATGAATGTAAATACAAAAATTGTTAAATTTGTTAAACATTTCATTTTTTTACCTAAATAAACTTCAAGAACATTATTACTGCTGTCAGTGTTGACAAACGTAAAACTAGCAAGACTGCAAACTTGTTTTCAAGACGAAATGTCAATTTTATTGGGCTGCATACTTAATTCAAAAAATACGCGCGTGGCTCAAAATACCGAAAATAATAATCATATTGATCATCTAAATTCAAAAATTACTCGCCTAGTGAAATACACCTTGAAATTAATTAAATATAAACTAAACATTTTTGCAATTTAACTCTCTGTATAATTGGGAGCCTTGTCGTGCCAATTTGTCTGCCATTTCATTTCCCTTGATGCCCTTATGCGCTTCGACGTAGTTCTTTAATAAGGGAAATGTGCTTTAAGTTAGGCATAGTGCAGTATTTAAATAAAACATACCCATTTGACTTGAACTTGATCGCTTTGCAGTAGCTCATCCAATTCTTTGAAGTCAGCTACATTTTTAACAGGTTGCATATTTGGAAGCTTCCAGCCACGCCTCTTCCAACCGGGTACCCACTTTGTTATCGAGTTGATGAGGAACTGTGAATCTGTGTTAATGCTAAGCTTTTTAATGCCCAAATCCAATGCGGTTTTAATAGCATATATTGCTGCCTGAATTTCGCCCACATTGTTTGTTACACGCCCCAGTACGGGCTTTGCCGCGTTTCTACAAAAGTGTTTTCAGCCAATTAATAAATTAAGTTACTTTCAATAGCTACAAATGTATCAACTCACAGTTGATGATTGTCACCAAAGTAAACGCCAAAGCCGGCGCATGCATGTTTTTTCCCGTTGCCTAGACAAGAACCATCCGTATAGACAATGACATATCCTTCGGAATTCATCGTAAACTCAAATGGGCCGAATTGCTTCAGCGCAACGACATCTTCTACATTTGAGATGTACCGTGGAATTTTCGATTTTGCAGAGCTGCTGCTTTCAGCTTTACGTTTGAGATTGTTGCCTGGCTGTTCAGTAAATCCTTCTACCTCATTCATGGCCAGCAACTAAGGTGACAAGTGTTAGGTATTTAAAGCATATAAGTGTTGCACATTATACTCACTAAATCATCATCTGTGACCTCCTGTTTTTCATCAACATCTTCTGGCCAGAAATCTTTGCTTTCAACTTCATTCGGCGACTGATGCTGCCAACTAACTGGCGGACCTTTTCTTTGTCCAAGGGGCACAGCTATTTTATCTGGTGCGTAATTTCCCTGAGTTCCAGCTCCAGCGGGACTGATAAATTTCTCCGCCTCTTGGCGGCAGTTGAACTTCTTGTAAAGGGCCCCTTTGAAACCCTTTACCTGTTGCTCACATTGCGTCCAGTTTTCATATATTCCAACTTTCCGTCCTTTTGCAACAGCATAGAAAGCCATACTGCGTTCAAATATTCTCACATATTGGAGTTGAGAACGCAGCAGTCCAAACATTATGTGCCTTCAGTGTTGGAAAATGATGCACAAGCTCTACCAGATTAATAAACTATTATGTATAGCTTGTACTTTTAGTTTTCAAGTGTATATTAGATGAGTGAATAATCAGATATATTTGAAATATGAATAATATCTGATAAATACTATTTGTTTAAAATCAACTAATTAAATAAGCATGCTATAAACAATAAGCGATATATCCCAATAAATAACATCAATATATCGATGCTATGAGATAACAAATTTACAGCTATTACAGCAAATATATCTAAAATATAATATTTATAACAGTAAATAAATATCTCTAGGCAGTATTACAATTTTCTATAAACATAACTTTGATGCGATTATTATCATCAAACTTTATATGCATACCAACAGTATGGATCGATACATCCATGATTCGATAGTTCTTTTTACGTACATCTCTAGATAAGAAGCTAATAAACGAAAATAAAAAAAATCTGTTTTTCCTGTGCACAAGTTATATCATTAATAATGTGCAAGGGAAGTGTTTCGTTAGTTTGTTTTGTTTTTGTGTTAATTGTGCAAATACATAATGCCGAATTTCGTGCATACGAAGAGATTGCAGTTGTTGAACCAGAAATTGCAGCTGCAATCACAGCAAATCACGATAAGCGTAAAAATGCACGTTCGATGATTTGCTATTGCGATGGCAGTTGCCCGAACAATGTAAGCAACGGTACCTGCGAGACACGACCAGGTGGCAGTTGTTTCAGCGCCGTCGAAGAGGTTTACGATGAGACAACAGGCACATATGAGGAGGAGCGCACATTTGGCTGTATGCCCCCCGAGGATAATGGCGGATTGTTAATGTGCAAAGTGTCAGTTATGCCTTATTTACATGGGAAAAATATTGCCTGCTGTGATGAGAAGGATTTATGCAATCGAGAGCTGCAGCCAGACTTTATGCCGAAGCTGACGACACCGCCACCCGAACTGCCCGTTAGCCGGGAATCCATTCATATAGTGACACTCCTGGCCATCATTGTGCTCCTCTTCGTGTTTATTGTGTTTGTCGTTGCATTATGCGGTTTTCTCAAACGTCGCAATAAACTGCAAAAGCAACCACGTTTGATCAACTCCATGTGCAATTCTCAGATATCGCAGTTAGTCGAACAGAGCTCGGGCTCTGGATCTGGTCTTCCGCTACTGGTGCAACGCACAATTGCCAAGCAGATACAAATGGTGCGCCTCGTGGGCAAGGGACGCTACGGCGAGGTGTGGCTGGCCAAATGGCGCGATGAACGAGTAGCTGTCAAGACCTTTTTCACCACCGAGGAAGCATCCTGGTTTCGCGAAACAGAAATCTATCAAACTGTGCTGATGCGTCATGAGAATATTTTGGGTTTTATTGCGGCTGATATAAAAGGAAATGGCAGTTGGACACAAATGCTTTTGATCACCGATTACCATGAAATGGGCAGTCTGCACGATTATCTCTCCACATCGGTGATCAATCCACAAAAGCTACAGCTGCTCTCTTATTCCCTGGCATCCGGTTTGGCACATCTGCATGACGAAATCTTTGGCACACCGGGCAAACCAGCCATAGCCCATCGGGATATCAAGAGCAAGAATATATTGGTCAAGCGGAATGGGCAATGCGCTATTGCTGACTTTGGATTAGCGGTTAAGTACATATCGGAACTGGATGAGATCCATATTGCACAGAATACACGCGTCGGCACACGTCGCTACATGGCGCCAGAAGTGCTCGACCAGACGTTGAATCCACAGCAATTCGAAGAATTCAAACGTGCCGACATGTACTCTGTCGGCCTTGTCCTCTGGGAGATTGCCAGACGTTGCTATACGCCCATATCGGGCACAAAGACAACTGCTTGCGAGGACTATGCGCTGCCATATCATGATGTGGTGCCGTCAGATCCCACATTTGATGATATGCATGCAGTTGTCTGCGCCAAGGGCTATAGACCGCCCATACCAATGCGTTGGCAAGAGGATGATGTGCTAGCCAGCCTCTCGAAGATCATGCAGGAATGTTGGCATCCAAATCCAACGGTGCGCTTAACAGCGCTGCGTGTTAAGAAAACGCTTGGACGCCTTGAAGCGGACTGCCTTATCGATGTGCCCATGAAAATTGTCTAGGGGAACTACTAGTAAAGAGCAATCCCTAATTGAATTTTATTTTATATATATATATATATATATATATATATATATATATATATATATATATATATATATATTCAGTATATATAGATTAGTTTTGCTAGCTGCATTTTGCATTTATAAAGCAAGTTTTTGTTCGTTCGGTAAATAGTTGATAAGCCGTTTTTTAAAAACTTTGTGCCTACTAATAACACAGACCAACCAAGAATCAGACTATACTTATTAAAGCCATATTTTTAATCCGAAACTGATGTCAAAATATCTGTAATAAATCAATCTTTTGATATATTATCGATATGAATTAAAAAAAGCAAACATAGATGACGATCACAACAATTTTCTCCGATACAGTTATTACGAAAAATGTTAGTGTTATTTGTCTCGTTTTAAACCTCTTTTAAAATTTCGAAGTATCTTATTCAGTCAATGACAAATCATATAATTCGACTTCGATTGCAGAAACCTTTGGCTAAATCTAGTCTGATTCTTGGTTACCAAATCCTGTTGGCCTGTGTAATTAAACTTAAACTTAAGATTTGTACTGATTCGTATGTTAGTTTAAGTAACATTTGTTGTTTAGTTTAATATTAGTGTTAAGGTTCAATTGGTTTGCAAAATGCTTTAACTTTTCTTCGGAAATCTTTTTTGAAAAAAATCGAGTTTCAAAATTCATTTTTGTGCCAGCTTACTTCTGAGGTAGAACTATATAATAAACCTAGACTAAGTTGAAAAGGAGTGAAATGCTAAGAAATATATATATATTTCTATATGTTTTTAGCTATAACACATTTGTGCATTTTTGTAAGTTAAACAAATGCAAAAATAATGCTGCCTTATGTAAAATTTAAAATCAACTAGACTTAGAGTATATATAAATATATAACAAGTTTCGAGCAGCTGCTTCAAATAGTTTAAGAAGCAATAGACATATATACATATGTATAGTTAATTAAGTTATATAATTCAATTTGAGGGTGCAAAACATTTTAACAATTTACCTTTTATATAAACTAATCAAAAGATTCACAATATTTTGTTTAGCTTTAGGCGCAACTAATATATTTTGCTTAAGAAATTACAATAACAAAAGTTTCAATCTTCAATCTTTGTTTTAAGATTTTTTATTTACAGTTTCTAAAAATAAATACATATTTGATTCAATTATTTTGTCATTTAACTTCTATTTTTATTTACAAACATTTAGTGTATCTGACTGAGTATACCCTGCAGCAGATGTTTCTGAATTATATTAGCTTGATGAACACATAGTCACACACTCAAATATACGCAAGGAATACACTAAAATAGCTAAATATCGTTTGTAGATACCATAGAAATATGGTAAATGGAAGTATGGAAATATAAAAAAATTATCAATAATTTCAAATAAACTTGATTCAGTCGTGGTAAAGGATTTCTTCTACTTATGTACTTATGAACAGACGAACAGGGTTGTTAATCCAAAATCCCTTATACGAAAGGACAGTTAGAAATATGAATTTACTACAAGAAAAAGTCAACTCTCTGTAATTACTTTATCCCCAAGTTCATCTGTCTCCGCCACATCAGTTATCTCAACTTTCTCTTGTTCGATCTCCATTTGTTTATCATTCTCTTGCTGATCCGTTTGCACAATTTTCATGTCTTTGCTATTGTTCTTAGCCTTGGCACCCTTGCGCTGCGGTATAGTCTCTAGAATCGCTTGCGTCCATCCCTGGTTGGCTGCTACGCGTGTCAGAAGCTCAAAGACGTGAAAGGTGCTTAGCACGGAGCGCGTCTTCATGTCCACGTGCTCACTGAGTGGCAGGCGAGCTGTAAGTAGTCCCGCACTTGTTGCCCGCTGATGACAGAGACCTTTTAAGTGATTGTGATCGACCAAACCGCCAATAACATAAGTATGTCCAGGCAATAACTTCTCCAGTATCGTATCCGATTCACAGGTCAAATAAACCAATTTCTGTTTGTCGAACAGTTCACTGTGTGTACGATCGAAGTGATAATCGACATGCCAATTTTCCCAGCCATCGTTCTTTTTGAAGCATTCGTGTATGTTGCCTTTGGTCTTGATGCCTGTAAAGTGCAGACGCAACGGCTGGGCGGCTCGTCGATTAATCGTATAAATGCGTAGGCATTGCTTCACACACTTGGCCACATCTCGCTCGTGCATCAGATCGTCGTAATCCAAATCGATGGCCACGCTGATTATATCAGGCGAACTTTGCTTATTGATTGCCATTAGCTGGCGCCGTTTCAGCTCCTTGCGTGAAGGACCCACACTGAGTGGAAGCCCCTTAGCCTTGGCCTCCACTCGTTTCGCCTTTTGACGCTCGCGCTCCTTCAGTCGTCGCAATTTTCGCATTTCAAGCATTTCGGCATGTTTTCGTTGTTTCTTCAGTTGGTTTTTGCTCAACGGTGTGGCGGGCGTAGTGCCTGGACAGCTGCTAAGCGTAATCTGCGCAGTTTGATCTTGGTCATTGTCTTCTTTTTTTACGTCCATATTGAAAATTTCTTTAATTAAAATTAAATACAAATCTTGTAACTTTTTTAGCTAAGCATGTTAAAACCTATATGGTTCATTGGAACAGCATGTTATCGATTGTACTTAATACGCTAATCGTTACCACCCATCCCAGATAAAACGACCATTTCGATAACTTCACTCGAACTAGTTTGCCATCGAAACTACTTGTGCTGTCTATGCAGCCCTGAGAAAAGGGCTGTCTATTCAGCCCTGAGAAAAGGGCTGCCGCAGGTGTTGCAATTTAGTTCTCGCGAAGAAGTAGAGCCTAATCAGACTTTGGATTAAAAATTATGTACCAGCCACCTTTGCCGCCGCAAGATGTGCCCACACAACCTCCACCACCACCACCACCACCAGCTGAAGCCGTAGAATTACCTCCGGCGGGCATAAAACACGATGCTCAGCCGGCTAACGTTGAAACAGCTGGGCCGGCAAATTTTCATTATGCACACAATCCGTGGAGTATGAATGAGGCTTACAACTCTCAAGGTTCATCTGTGAATTATGGTAAATATGACGCCAACGCCTATTCGCCATATGCTTCAGGGCCAATGCCAATGCCGCCGTATACAGCTAACGTACCTCCATATTACTATGAGAATTATGGATATCCGGAGCCCTATGCAGGAACGACTTCTAATTACGGAGCTAAGTCGTCTAGCTCTGGCTATGAATCTAGATCAGATTATAGGCAGGGCAGTTACTCTTCAAATTATCGTCAGCCCAGTCACAGTTATTACTCTAATAGTTATCCGAAAAATTATGGTGGATATAACTATAACAATCGCTATGAACAAAGATATTATAATCCACGACAGTCCTATCATGCCGGCCAAAGGAATCCGAAGAGCATGCCCAATGAGGCGCCAAGCACGCCCAAGTTGGAAACAGAACGGGATCGTCTCTTGCGTCAGTGGTGTTCCAACTATTGTGAGAAACCCGAGGATTATATTAAGAAAATGAATGCTTTAATCGAAGCCGAGGCTCCTGCTGAATCCTGGGTACGTTCATCACCCGCTGAACTCTACTATGAGCGCACAAAGATCGAGCATGAAGTAAGGGCCAAGCCCCGACTGCACAAACGCTGCGAGATGTTTGAGCAGCAGCTCATCGAACGTGCCGAAAGAGTGAGGAAGACATTGCCCATCTATGTGCCTCCTGCTCGAAAAACGCGACGACGGGCTTGCAATCACAAGCATAAATCGGAAGCATGTTCCTCCAGCTCCGATTCGGATTCGGATGAGGATGCCTTCAAGATCGAACAAGACTGTTGCATGGAAGAGCTGTCGCGCAAGGTGCAACACCCACAGCGGGTACATCCCGATCTATGGCATAACGATGCGGGTGAAATGAACGATGGACCGCTCTGTCGCTGCTCGGCTAAGTCGCGACGCATTGGCATACGACATGGCATATATCCAGGCGAGAAGGGGTATCCCATCTGCGATAAGGACACTAATAACGCGAGCAAACTTTATCATTATCGCATTACCATTTCGCCGCCCACAAATTTCCTAACCAAAACGCCGACAATCATCAAACACGATGAGCATGAATTCCTCTTTGAAGGCTTCTCTCTGCTATCGCATGTCCGTCTAACGGATTTGCCCGTCTGCAAAGTGATTCGCTTCAATATTGAATATACCATTGAATATGACGAGGAGAAGATGCCTGAGAACTTTACCATACGCGAATTGGATTTGTTTTGTAAGCTATTTCATTTGTATCTAAATAATAAATACTTAAAACAAATTTTTTTTTCTAGTTAAGTATCTATTTCATGAGCTGCTGGAGCTGGTTGACTTCAATCTCATGCCAAATGGTGAACAATCTTGTCCAGCTTTCCATTTTCTGCCACGCTTTGTGCGCGAGCTGCCGGACAATGGAAAGGAAGTGCTGGCGATGTGCGAGGTATTGAAGTATTTGCTGGACAACTCAGCGGAACTGGTGGAGCCGCAGCAGCTGCTGCACTTGAATCGCATAAGTCAACATGAATGGCAAAAGTATGTGGATTATATTAAGGGCATGTTGGTAACAAAACCTGGCCATAAGCCCTGTTCGCTGCGTGTCGATCAGTTGGATCGAAATAATTCCGATCTACCCGAATGCTTGGATCGAGAGACAGGCATCTCACATCCAGCGATTGTACATTTTGGCATACGTCCACCTCAGCTGAGCTATGCTGGCAATCCGGAGTATCAGAAGGCTTGGCGAGAATATGTTAAATTTCGGCATCTAATGGCGAATATGTCGAAGCCATCATTCAAGGACAAACGTAAGCTAGAGGACAAGGAGCAACGACTGCAGGAGATGCGTACCCAGGGACGGATGAAACGAAATATTACCGTGGCCATTAGCTCGAATGGTTTCTACCGTACGGGCATTATGTGTGATATAGTACAGCATGCAATGCTTATACCTGTGTTGACAGGCCATCTACGCTTCCATAAATCCTTGGACTTACTGGAGGAGAGTATTGGCTATAAGTTCAAAAATCGTTACTTACTCCAGTTGGCACTTACGCATCCTTCGTACAAAGAAAACTACGGCACTAATCCAGACCATGCGCGCAATTCACTAACCAATTGTGGCATTCGACAGCCGGAATATGGAGACCGTAAGATTCATTATATGAATACGAGAAAGCGTGGCATCAATACTCTTGTTAGCATTATGTCGCGCTTTGGCAAGGATCATGAGACGGTTTCCAATATTACGCACAACGAACGTCTTGAATTTCTGGGCGATGCTGTGGTCGAATTTTTGAGCTCGATTCACTTGTTCTTTATGTTTCCGGAGCTGGAGGAAGGTGGTTTGGCCACCTATCGCGCTGCAATTGTCCAGAATCAGCATTTGGCTTTGCTAGCCAAGAAATTGCAGCTGGAAGAGTTTATGCTGTATGCCCATGGCTCGGATTTGTGCCACGAGCTTGAGCTCCGGCATGCCATGGCCAATTGCTTTGAGGCTTTGATGGGTGCCTTGCTGTTGGATGGCGGCATTAAAGTGGCCGATGAGGTATTCACCGATGCTCTCTTTAGGCAGGACGATAAATTGCTTGCCATATGGAAGAATTTGCCGGAGCATCCGTTGCAGGAGCAGGAACCATTAGGCGATCGTAGCTGCATCGATGCTTACCGCGTGCTCAAGGATTTGACCAGATTTGAGGATTCGATTGGCATCAAGTTTAAGCATATACGCTTGCTTGCACGCGCCTTTACGGATCGCTCTATTGGCTTTACACACTTGACGCTTGGCTCGAATCAAAGACTGGAATTCTTGGGAGATACTGTGTTGCAGCTTATTTGCTCGGAGTATTTGTATAGACATTTTCCTGAGCATCATGAGGGACATTTATCATTGCTGCGCTCCTCGCTGGTCAACAATCGTACACAGGCTGTGGTCTGTGACGACCTGGGCATGCCCAAGTTTGCTGTCTATGCTAACCCGAAGGCTGATTTAAAAACCAAAGATAGAGCGGATCTGCTGGAAGCTTTTCTTGGCGCTCTTTATGTGGATAAGGGATTGCTTTATTGTGAACAGTTCTGTCATGTCTGTCTCTTTCCACGGCTGCAACTGTTCATCATGAATCAGGATTGGAATGATCCGAAATCGAAGCTGCAACAATGTTGTCTCACTTTACGCACCATGGACGGCGGGGAGCCAGATATACCCTATTACAAGGTGGTCGAGGCGAGTGGACCCACGAATACCCGCGTTTACAAGGTGGCTGTCTATTTTCGGTCGAAGCGTTTGGCCACCGCCAGTGGCTCGTCCATACAGCAGGCAGAGATGAATGCCGCGAAGCAAGCTCTAGAGAATTCCAGAGATTTGTTTCCCCAACTCGATCACCAGAAGCGCGTCATTGCCAAAAGCATTAAGAAGCAAACAGGCAGCGAAATGGATAATGATGTGGACAAGCCACAAGATGATAAGGCGAAGAAGCCCAAATATGCACCGCCGTTGGAGGATGAATCTCATTTGCCAAAGCAATATCGCATGCATGAGAATATATCCAGTGATGAATTGCCAGAGGATGACGAAGAAGATGATCAAGGCAGAGCAGCCATTTGTAAGTAGTTTTAAAAGTTTCAACGAGCATATTTAAATGATTCGTTTTCTTCTTTTCATTTCAAGCACCTGTTCGTCTGCCAAAGCATCGAAATGGCAGCAGGAGCAGCAGCAGCAGCAATAGTAGTAGTAGTAGTAGTAGCAGCAGCAGCAGCAGCACTAGCAGCAGCAGTAGTAGTAGTGATACTGATAGTGATGCCTGTTCTCCGCCAAAGCTTCCAGCGCGCTTAGAGGAAGGCTCCGTTTCGCCAGTCTCCTCTTCTTCATCGTTATAATATAAATTAAATTTAACAATCTATAAGATAACAAAATAACAGATAAGCAAAAGATAAACTTCATATGCTTGAGTATATATCTGAAAGCTCACATATTTAGTACTAAGAAATATCTAAAGAAACTTTCAGCTTGATTAAAATATGAATTTTATTTCAACTAATTCTTGAATGTCAATTGGCATTGAACGTTGCATGAAGTTTGTTTAGATAATATATATTATATAGAGTTACTATAGAACTAAACTTGAACAGCATGTAGTGCCAACAATTCATGAATTGATTTAATTACACAATAAATTTATTTACAGACATTCGAGTCATTCCTAAATTCAAGAAACCTTGAAAATCTCTGAAAAGATACAAACTATTTCTTTGTCATTCCATTCTTTGTATACCCCGAATCCATTAAAAAAAAGGGGTTTGGTAAATTGGTTTTGTTTTTAATTTCTTACAACAGTCATGCAAACTTATAAATTGAACTTTTTCGGAGTCGATCAAACTAGATGATGATATACTATATCCAATTATGTAAAACATATTTGATATTTGAAACTACTAATATTTTCACGACAGTACACTGTACTTATTTTACTTGTACTTTTATTCAATTTTATTGAAAAGCGCATTTGCATTTCAAATTTAGATTTGCTATAACTAAAGTCGAGCGCATCACATAACAATAACAGAATAAAAATATCAAGAAGGTTAATTTGTCGTATAGCAAGAATAGTAAATTTAAACGATCAAATTGGTTTCAAGATTGCCTATCGGTACAAAATGCAGTGCAAATTCAACAACGTATTTAGTCAGGGGAGCTTAACCAATTTACTTAAAGAGCGAGAGACGGCGTCCAAGCGATCGTCCGTTGTTATTCAGGGCGTTCGTAATATCCTTTAACTCTGGCAAGTTTTGAATATCACCGCGAGCTGCCACTGAAGGGACAGAGTTAAGAAGTCTTTGAGCAACGCGTTGTATGTCAGCAGATGTTACTTTTTCTAAAGAGAAAGAAGATACACATATTTCATTTATAATTTCGTACATATATCTAAATTATCTTACCAATTTCTTTGATGAAATGCTCGGGTCGCTTGCGATACCCCGTAACCAGAACTTGCCGTCCAACATCTTCGAACACGACTGGTCGGGACTCGAGGTTCATTAGCAGCATCGATTGCAATTGTATTTTGGAACGCATCAATTCTTCGTTGGTTGGCTCGGTGGTCATGTTCATCAATTCCCGTGTGATAACCTCTACCATATCTCGCATATGCTGTGGCGGTGCACTGCCGTGTATACAGAACAGACCCGTATCTACATAAGCATGATTGTAAGCAGTTGCGCTATACATCCAATGGTAGCGATTCAAGACTTTGGTATAGAGGCGAGAATACATGCCCTTTCCAGGACCACCAGCTGAGAACGAGCCGCCGCCCCCCATCATTATGTTAAGCACACATAGTGCCACAAAGTCTGAGTCTTGATGGGAACAACCCTCAAAGCCTAGCACAACATGTGCCAGCTCTGGCAGCCCAGCTGCCGCATAAATCGGTATTTCACAGTGTTCCTTAAATAACATAAAATAGCTTAAATATCCTATTCAGTATGGACATATATAGTTTCTCACTTTAATTAGGCCGCCGGTATACTGAGCTTGAGAGGTATCCACTTGATCGGGTGCTGTATTTGTTAAATTTTCTTTCATCCAAATGGCCTCGCGTTCGACAAAATATTTTGTAACATGCTCAACTAGTTCATCGTGATCTACCTACATAGAGGGAGAGTCCATGATTATTCAAATAAAAGTTGTGGGCTTAAAATCAAGAACTTACACCAACGCCGGCGATGACCATACGATCCGGTGCATGATGATACTTTAGATAGTTCATTAAAATGTTGCGATCAATTTTTTCCAAATTAGATGGCGGGCATAATTTTGGCAAACCGAGAGTGTTGTCTTTGTAGGCGGCAGCGTGTATCATGTCCATAAGTATTGGCTCCTGTTCGGGTCGCATGCCAAGCGTTTCCAATTCAAAACTGACAGCACGTCGTGCCAAACTCACTTCCTGTTCGCTTAGTGTTGGCCTCAAGGTTACGTCAGCTAGCAATCGGGTGACGGATTCAAGAGCACGACTATCAATACTTGCTGCATATATAAGCGTGTCCCTTGAACTTTGGCAATCACAGATGCCACCATTTTTCTCCAATTCCTTAAGAATTGCATCCTTATTAGGAAAGTTAACTGTTGACTGGAAGTGTGATTGATGATATTAAATAATAATTAAGATTTGTAAATAATATGAGTGAATTGGATGTATGTATGTTATTGTAATAATAATAAAAAGGGAAAGAGGGAATGGCAATATACGACGACGAATGTGTGGCAGGAGCATATGACAATAGCCGATAAGATTAAATGTATATAACCAGCAGAGATTTAAATTTTAGAGCGAACTTACATTAAACGCAAGCTTTTCAAGGAAATGAGAAACGCCACTGGGATAGGCTACTTCATAACGTGGTCCAGAGTCCAGCACAAGACCAACTGTGCAGAACTGTCCGTAGCGTGGCTCCGAGGCAATGCGCAAGCCATTCACTAGTGTTGTCACCTTCGTGGTGGCGCTTTCATTTAACGGTTTGGCATAGACAGCCTCAGGCAAGTTGGGCAGCGGTTCGGTTAGGGGCGGCAGGTACGTAACAATATCTTTGGACGGCGTGTTTATTTTGTGTGGACCGCCCTCTTTGCTGCGTACACGTCCAGTGATTTGGCCAATGCCGGTGCCACTGCCAATTTCATCACCACTAACTACCGTTACTTTTGTGGCGAAGCGGCGAGGAAATCTAATTGGATAATAATTGTGAAATTCATTATTTTTACCGGTTCTTTCTGTCTTTAAGCCCACACACACACGATTCTTACGTGCGCCAAGAGTTTCTTAGAGTTTGCAGCATAGTGAAGCTTCTCACGTTCATGATTTGCAGATGATTTGGGTATGGCCTTGAGCGTTTGCAACTATATTTACAATTTCAAATGTTGAATTTTGCTGCGTTCAAGAAATCTGTTTCAAAGACATACTTTTGAAGAAAAAGGTTCTTCTTCTTGCCTAATGTCAATCACAAATGTCATATGGGAACTAAAGCGTAGAGTTGTATTTTTGTTAGAAATATCGATAACAGCTTGGCAACCGTGAAAATTTCAAAAACGATATACATATACATGTTATATTTTTTTTTATAATATATTTTATTTATTTAGCTTGAATGTATTTTAGTATTTTACAAGCTAATCAAAGTTAAAGCGTCGTTTTCCATCAAAGCGATAGCCATAGGCTGCTGCATTTTTCGTGTCCACCAGAGCAGGATTGCGATGCTTAAAGAAACTGCCATGCCCGTGAGCTGGTCGAGAAGCGCTATTAGGAATTCCCTCCACTTCACGAGGATAAAAGGCTTCAAACATTCCTTCTGGCGGTAGGCAACACTCAACTATTTTGGTATCATTTGGATCATACGCGTCAACACTGATAAGTGCCCATAAAACAATCACCAGTATATTCAAAAGTTTCGTAATTACAGTCATTTCAAGTTGACACGCGAACCTTCCTTTTACTTTTCTTTAATTTTTTTTTTCTTTTTTATACACAATGGACCCAAACTTGTTTTCCGCTTGGTGTTGTTCCAATTGCTGTGGCTTCAGTTATACTGATTACCCCTTAAGCCGCTCTCTCATTGCTGCACTTGGCTCAAGTTAGGTGAGTTTCAATCATATTTTGTTTTTTTGTAAAAGCTTTCATGCATTTAAGTTTTCGCGCCATGAAGTTTATTTTATCAGATGGGCAACACCACAAATATTTTTGGCGATGCACGACGAATTAATCAAATAATTATATTTATGTGTTATGTTATGAATTTATTAAATAATTTGTATTGCTTATAACATTTTTATAGTCAAGCTCAAGCTCAGAATTTAAATAGCTATCCGAATCGCCCATCACTAATCGAGTTGAGTTTCTTCAATTCGTGCTCACAATTAAATCACGCTCATCATTAGCCGAGCCAGTCGGCGAATTCTTTTTGGCAATTTTCCTTATTTCTCAAAAAATGAATAAAATAATTGCGAACTTCTTATAAGTGGCAACACCATAGCACAATGGCCACAATTACAAGAAATACATTTTTTATATTGTTTTCATTTAACAAACGGCTCCTTATTTGAATAGTCAAATAAGTTCAGTTTTAAATAAAAGGAACCAAAAGCGGCATATTCAAGGAGATATGCAAACATCCCATCACTAAGTAAGTTGCACTCTAATTCGCGACCCCTATAAAAAATTGCACATCTCTTTCGTTTGAACCAGTTGGTCCATTCAGTATGAATAGAGTCGTCGAGAGGAAGAACGACGAAGTTTGCTCGTTAATCTCTTAAGAAATTTCGAATTTGATAAGAGACTTGAGCAAGAATAGAAACATGTCGTATAATCGTATAGAGGTACCCAAGGACTTAAGCGAAATGACAAGTAAGCTGATTGCATTATAAATATATTAACTTCTTGGAACGCTGATGTCCCGCATATAAGTTAACACATAACATTTAATATAGGGTATTTCATAAGTTTATAATCAACCCTCGCTATCGCGTGTTTCGTAAGTTAAGAAACAGCCCTCGCAATTGCGACACTGCATACTTTGTATCAGCGCGCTATAACTGCAATGGTCAGCGGCGGTAACCAGATACTTTTGTTTACTGCAAGAGTTTCCGTTATTGCCTAAGATTGCTGAGTCGGCTTGCCGACCATGACATTGTGGTGTGATGCGAGTTTTGGCTTAGCTTAAGTGAAATATTCTATGTAGCTAAAAATCAGTTTTGTATTGAAGTTTGAAGAATAAACCCGCACTACTCCGGCACACCGCCGTAATCAAATTGTTATATTTCTGATCATTGCTGAGCCACAAGGCCAGTTAATAGAAAAGGGGGTGAAGTCAAACCCTCCAACATAATCATCATAAGAAGATTATAATTACCCGATCAACGCTGGACCTGCCACCGACGCCTAGCTCATCGCTGGACCAGCAACTTATTGATTAAGACTATAAATACCCGATCAACGCTGGACCTGCCACCGACGCCTAGTTCATCGCTGGACCAGCAACATATTAATTGGCGCCCAACGTAAAAAAAAAAAAAAAAAAAAAAAAAATTTTTTTTTTTTTTTTGGAATTTAAATCATGTAAGTGGATACTCCAGCCAACATTTTTTTTCAAACACAAAATTTCTTAAATTTACTTTATAAAAAATTTGTTAGTACTAGTGAGTATTTCGTATTGCAACAGATTAGATTATAATAATCAGAACCAAGTTTCTGAAATACGTGAGAGTGGCTGCTCTGAGAATTTAGGCTGATAAAAATACTTAGTGTTACTTTCTATGTGTCTAATTCGACCCATCTTTTGACGGCCCGTTTAATTTTTCGCGGCCACTGGCCTGCGCATGCCACGGTTCAGCCAATATAGAAGCCCTCGCGAGCAATCTAGCGACTCAGATTCCGACTGTGACACTCGTATCAGAGTTCCGTCTACAAGACTTATACCGGCAGTTCCTCCACCATCAGATAGAATGGATCCAGATCAGCTTAGGGAAGTAGTAAGAACGGCCATCAGCAATGCCTTAGCCGAACAGGCCGCTGCAAACCAGCAGAGGGAGCAAGCATTGACTCAAAGAATTAATGAGTTAGCTAAACAAATAGCAGCAACAAGCTTTGCCACCCCACAAGTAGTAGCATATTCTGCTATAGAAATTAGAAACGATATTCACTGTGACGAGCCGCTAGATGCCGTCAAGTGCTTACCTGAGTTCGCAGGAGCACAGGAATCTTATGTATCTTGGAGGCAGGCAGCATTAGCCGCTTACGAGATCTTCAGACCACATAATGGCAGTTCTCGTCATTATCAGGCTGTCATCATTATAAGAAGCAAGATTAGGGGCCCCGCAGACGCGGTGCTGGCCTCATTTGGTACTGTACTGAATTTTGATGCGATAATAAATCGCCTAGATTTCACATACAGTGACAAGAGACCAATTCATGTCATTGAACAGGAATTAGGTACCTTGAGGCAAGGTGGCCTGTCCCTGCTTCAATATTACGATGAGGTGGAGAAGAAACTCGCTCTTCTCACTAACAAAGTTAACATGTCATATGAGCCGGCTTTAGCAAAGGGCCTATGTGAAAAATTCCGCGACGATGCGTTGCGTGTGTTCATATCGGGTCTCAAGCGCAGTCTTACAGACGTGCTCTTTGCAGCAAAGCCCAGAGATTTGCCTTCAGCACTAGCTCTCGCACAAGAAGTCGAGTCAAACCATGAAAGGTACGCATTCGCGGCTAACTTCGCAAAAAGTCTAGAAGACAAAGAGCGCAAGCCGCATGCAAAAGCACAGGGTCACCAACAGGAGAGGCATTCGCAACAAGCCGAAACACAAGCTAGCGGTACAAAGAATCCGCACTTTAGCAAGCAAAGCAGGGCCCCAGTGCAGTCTGACCAACGAAGCAGCAGGCAGCACAATAATAATGGCGCACCGGTGCCCATGGAGGTCGATCCTTCCTTCTCAAGGGTCTTGCAGCCCACTCAGGCCCCTGCTTACGCGAATAGGAAGCACCCCGCATCTGACCGCACAAGCGGTCAGAGGAATCAGCAGAGGCTGAATCACGTCACACAAGACGTGGGACAGGGGGCAGAGGCGTATGCTGATGCCGCCTCTAGCGCAGCGGCACAAATCAATGACGATAGTTATGACTCTGAAGCCCTCAATTTTTTAGGAGCAAATCCCTGCTACCCGTCATCAGACGAAGAGTAGCAGGGACTGACATGCGATTCCTCATAGACACGGGCGCGGCCAAGAATTTCATTCGGCCACACGAGGGGTTGAAAGGCGTCCGCTCGGTAGAGTCCCCCTTTAAAATTCATTCCATTCACGGCGAGACACAAATCACACACAAATGCTTTGTTTCAATGTTTGGGTTAAAGGCAACCTTTTTTATTCTGCCGGACTTATCAACTTTTGATGGGATTGTAGGCCTTGACCTGCTAAAGCAGGCAGCTGCTTCGCTTTGTCTAGCTTCAGGACAACTTAAGTGGGGTACGGAGGTCGAACAAATCACCTTCCACACGTGCAAAAATGTAAATTTCACGAATGTAGACTGTGCAGAGGCATCCCCTTTAGCTAGAAGTTCTTTTTTGAAAATGCTAAAAGCTAGACAAAAGGCCTTTGCGGACCCAGACGAGGCGTTGCCGTATAACACATCAGTCGTGGCTACCATTAGGACCACAGATGAGCAACCGATCTATGCCAAGCTTTACCCATATCCAATGGGAGCAGCTGATTTCGTTAACAAAGAAATCAAAGATCTGCTAAAAAATGATATAATTCAAAAGTCCGTCTCTCCCTACAATAACCCAATATGGGTAGTAGACAAGAAGGGTACTGATGAAGCAGGCAATAGGAAAATGAGGTTGGTAATGGACTTTCGTAAACTTAACGAAAGAACCGTGCCTGACAAATACCCTATACCAAATATATCAATGATATTGGGGAATTTGGGAAGAGCCAAATTCTTTTCAACATTAGACCTCAAGTCTGGATATCACCAGATCATACTCGCTGAACGCGACCGTGAAAAAACCGCTTTCTCTGTGAACGGGGGGAAATACGAGTTCAAAAGACTCCCCTTTGGATTAAAGAATGCAGCAAGCATCTTCCAAAGAACCATCGACGACATACTGCGAGAGCAGATTGGCAAATTCTGCTATGTTTATGTCGATGACGTAATCATCTTTTCAGAAGATGAGGAATCCCACATTAAACACGTGGATTGGGTCCTAAAAAGCTTATTTGAAGCAAACATGAGGGTCTCCGTCGAAAAATCACGTTTTTTTAAGAAAAGCGTGAACTTTCTTGGTTTCATAGTCACCAGCACTGGCGCCACGACGGATCCCGAAAAGGTTAGGGCAATACAAGAGTATCCAGAACCTAAAACACTGTTCGAGGTCAGATCATTTCTAGGCCTCGCAAGTTATTACAGATGTTTCATTAGGGACTTCGCCGCTATAGCAAGACCCATCTCGAATATCTTGAAGGGTGAAAATGGAACAGTCAGTAAACATAGGTCCAGAAATATAAAAGTTCAATTCTCTGAAGTGCAGCAAAGGGCGTTTCAGAAATTGCGCGATATTTTGTCATCCGAGAATGTAATGCTTAGGTACCCCGATTTTAAGAAGCCATTCGATCTAACGACCGATGCTTCGGCTCACGGCATAGGTGCAGTTTTGTCACAAGAGGGTCGTCCTATAACAATGATTTCAAGAACATTGAAGGACAGCGAGGTTAACTATGCAACAAATGAGAGAGAGTTATTGGCCATCGTATGGTCACTTGCCAAGTTAAGGCACTATTTGTATGGGGTGAAAGACATTAATGTCTTCACTGACCATCAACCCTTGACCTTCGCAGTTTCGGAATCCAATCCAAATGCGAAGATCAAAAGGTGGAAAGCGCGCATTGACGAGTCTAATGCACGTATCTTCTATAAACCTGGCAAGGACAATCTGGTTGCGGATGCCTTGTCAAGACAACAGCTCAACGCTGTAAATGAACAAGAGATTGAGTCCTGCGCAGCAACGATCCACAGTGAGGTATCACTTACCAACACCATCGAGACAACAGATAAGCCCTTGAACTGTTTTCAAAACCAAATAGTTATAGAAGAGGCGCGTTTCCCCTTAAAACGAAGTTTTATTCTTTTTGGAAATAAGAAACGCCACTTGGTCAACTATACTTGCGTCGAATCGCTGCTAGACGAGCTCGAAGATGTAGTTTCACCCAAATGCGTGAATGCTCTCCACTGTAATTTACACACGCTTGCAATGATACAAGATACATTGGTTCGAAGATACCCGGCCACAAAGTTCTGGCACTGCAAAAATCGCGTAGTGGACGTATTGGCAGTTGGAGAAAGAAGGGAAATTCTCACGGCCGAACATAATAGGGCCCATAGGGCTGCACAAGAGAATATTAAGCAGGTACTCTCGGAGTACTACTTTCCAAAGATGGCAAAAATAGCCAATGAGATAGTACTAAATTGCAAAACATGTGCTAGGGCTAAATACGATAGACACCCCAAAAAACAAGAGATTGGGGAAACTCCGATACCCTCACATGTAGGAGAGATGTTACACATAGACATTTTCTCCACTGACAGGAAATACTTTCTCACTTGCATCGACAAGTTCTCTAAGTTTGCTATTGTCCAACCGGTCCCTTCAAGAACCATCGTGGATCTGAAGCCAGCGTTAATGCAGCTGATGAATTTTTATCCAAAAGCCAGATCCATCTACTGTGACAATGAACCGTCATTGAACTCAGAGACCATCGTGACTATGCTCGCAAACAACTATGGGGTCAGCATTTCAAATGCACCACCATTGCATAGCATCTCGAATGGACAGGTTGAGCGCTTTCACAGCACTCTCTTGGAGCTAGCCAGATGCCTAAAGATCGATAAGGGCATAAGTGACACGGTAGAAGTCATTTTACTGGCTACAACTGAGTACAATAAGTCGATCCATTCGGTCATCGACCAGAGACCAGTTGATGTGGTTCAGGCTCAACCAGATGAGCCACAAGAGAAAATACAAGAAAAGATCAGAAACGCTCAGATGACGCTTAGAGCTAGGGAGAACGCAAATCGGCAGAATAGGGTCTTTGACGTTGGTGACAAAGTTTTGGTCAAGTCCAACCGACGACTCGGAAACAAACTCACACCTTTATGTGATGAGAAGGCCGTGGATGCAGACCTGGGGACCGAGGTCCTCATTAGAGGGAGGGTGGTCCACAAGGACAACCTAAGATGACTCTTGTTTTTTTTTATTTTTAAGCCACTAGGCAAACTTGTATAAGTTAGATATAGTTTTTCAATTTACTTTTAGCCACTTGGCATAGTTTTTATTAAACATTTTTGGTGGTGGGCAAACCTTTTAAAAAAAAAAGGTTGCTAAAAAGAAAGGAAACAACCTTATTTCACAGGTTGGGATCCATAGTACTCCTTTTCTTATCAGTGGCTTCGGCACATGTCACCGACTACTCGCGTGCCAAGTACATTCCCATCATCGACGGCGAAATCTTGATATGGGAAGAATACGCCTACGTTAGGCACTCGGCAAACCTCTCAGAATACGTGCGAATTGTGGAAGAAACGGTCAAATTAATTGACATGTTCCCGCTATCCCACATGAAAAAACTTCTGAGTGTGGACACGGTACATCTACAAGACCTATTGGAGGCGTTAGGCACGCATCATAGAGTCGCCAGAAGTTTAGATTTCCTAGGGTCCATACTGAAGGTTGTGGCGGGTACACCTGATGCCAGGGATTTAGAGCAGACTAGATTTACTGAAAGGCAGCTAGTAAATGCCAACAATAGACAGATAGAAATAAACACTAGAGTTCAAGACCAGCTTAACCAGTTGACATTCACTGTCAATAAGATTCTCAAGATAGCCAAAAACTCACAAGTTGACACTAGCCATTTATTCGAGACACTATTGTCTAGAAATAGAATGCTGGTAATGGAGTTGCAAAATTTAATGCTTGCTATTACTCTTGCAAAGGCTAACATTGTTAGCCCAAACATTTTGGACCACTCAGATTTGAAATCAATTTGGCTAGAGGAACCCACCAACACTCCCATAGGAGATCTTATGTCCGTTGCGTCCGTAAAAGTCCTTCAATCCATTAACACTATACATTTTATAATTAAATTCCCAAAGATTAAACAAGCTTGCAGAAAAATTACGATTTATCCTGTCATTCACAAGAATTTCATATTGCGATTGCCTGACAACGTCATAGCCGAATGCGATGGAAAAACCCACACACTGCAGAGTTGCACCGCTTCACCTGGAGCCACCTTTTGTCGTCTGGCATTAGAGAGTTCATGTGCCAAAGAGCTCCATGCAGGTGGCACGGCACACTGTGAAATCCAGCCGAGCAACCTGGAAATAATCACCCACGTAGATGATGGAATCATCATTCTTAACGACGGGTCCGCAAGGATCCAGGTGGATAACGGCACTGAAATCCAAGTACACGGCACGCATCTCATTACGTTCGGGGACCGAGTCGCGATCAACGGGACTCTGTTTTACAACCACAACAACGTACGCAATAGAGTCCCGGGCATTGCCAACTCTCCCTTGCTGAACATCACTGCCAGCCAAGATGTCCTCAGCCTCCCTTATCTTCATCGTTTAAATGAACGTAATTTGGAGGAGATACAGCAATTCAAGAAAGACGCCGGAACTGATCAAGCTTATCGTGTGGCATTCATCATTGGAGGTATATGCTGTGCTTTAATCTGCATTGGCCTCACCCTTTGGCGGTTCATCGACGCAAGGAAGTCTGCGAAGCAATTACGAGAAGTCGTCGCCGGAATTGGGTCGGCCGAGGGCGGCCTTACACTTGAAGGGGGAGTAGTTAACACATAACATTTAATATAGGGTATTTCATAAGTTTATAATCAACCCTCGCTATCGCGTGTTTCGTAAGTTAAGAAACAGCCCTCGCAATTGCGACACTGCATACTTTGTATCAGCGCGCTATAACTGCAATGGTCAGCGGCGGTAACCAGATACTTTTGTTTACTGCAAGAGTTTCCGTTATTGCCTAAGATTGCTGAGTCGGCTTGCCGACCATGACATTGTGGTGTGATGCGAGTTTTGGCTTAGCTTAAGTGAAATATTCTATGTAGCTAAAAATCAGTTTTGTATTGAAGTTTGAAGAATAAACCCGCACTACTCCGGCACACCGCCGTAATCAAATTGTTATATTTCTGATCATTGCTGAGCCACAAGGCCAGTTAATAGAAAAGGGGGTGAAGTCAAACCCTCCAACATAATCATCATAAGAAGATTATAATTACCCGATCAACGCTGGACCTGCCACCGACGCCTAGCTCATCGCTGGACCAGCAACTTATTGATTAAGACTATAAATACCCGATCAACGCTGGACCTGCCACCGACGCCTAGTTCATCGCTGGACCAGCAACATATTAATTTATATATGCAGCTTTGTATATACATATATTTATTTTCATATTTTTGATATGCTGCAAAACATAATATTATATATGGAGATTATTGCTGTGCAAAATTTGACTATAAATTGCTTATGAGCATTAGCCCATGAATTTTTGCCGGCTTTTTCTTCTGTGTTGTTTTTTAGTCGCTGCTGAATTGCAACTACTCGTACGTATGCATGTGTATATATGTATTTATTTGCAACTTGATTCTTGGTATTTGCAAGACTGGGAAATTTATACATGCATGTGTGAATGTGTGTGTGTGTGAATTTATCCAATATGTGTTTATCCCGGCACAAATGACGCAGTAAATCTAAGCAAGACATAAATAAAGAATGAAGTATTTAATAAGAAAAAGAGATACTTATGTAAACAAATAGTAAAAGTAAAAAATTATTTATTTGAAGAACCAATCAATAATGGAGAGCGCTATCCACCGATACCGTTACCGCCGCCGCCGACTAGACAGGGAACCGAGTCGAAGCCAATGATTCAAATGAACTCATCAGCATTTTTAGAGTCTGGACCGATTATAATAAACAATACAACTGTATTCGTATTAGAGGGACAGGACGAGACTCTGGCAACAAAGAACTTTATCTTCAATGATCAAACTATAAGAAAGGGCTTTATACGTAAGGTCTACTCCATACTATTGGTATGTAGAGCATAATATAGTATTCCTTAAGTGTGTAATTTTAATTCTTATATTGTAGACTCAGCTGCTCTTCACCTGTGGCGTTATCTGCATTTTCATGTACCATGACCCAACCAAATATTTTGTACGCGCTCATCCAAATGTGGTGATGGTTGCTATGGTCGTCAATATAGTTGTTGTCATCTCGATGGCTTGCTGTGAAACTGCTCGACGACATTTTCCTGTTAATTTTGTGTGCCTAGGCCTGTTTACGGTGACCATGTCGTTACTACTTGGGGCCGTCGCTAGCTCCTTGGAAGCGAATCTTGTGCTCTTAGCCGTGGGCATAACGGCTTTGTTAGTGGCTGCTCTGTCCATATTTGCCATACAAACCAAATACGATTTCACAGCCATGGGCGGCGTCCTAATCGCAGTAGTTGTCAGCCTATTGATTCTTGGTTTTGCAGGCGCATTTCTACGCCAAGCTTTCGGCGAGACGGCACTTGCCTGTCTTGGTGCATTGTTTGGCAGCTTTATGCTTATCTACGATACACAACTGATTATTGGTGGCACGCATGAATATCAATTTAATCCCGAGGACTATATATTTGCAGCATTAACTTTATATATCGATGTTGTACGCCTATTTTTATACATATTGCGTTTAATTGCTAGGAAGTAAAGTTGACTTCATTTGGCTATTACGCAAAATGGAAATACTCTGAAACGTTATTATGCAACTGAATGTATATCTATGTGAATTTATTATTAATTGTATACTGAATAATGGTTTAATGTCATAATTTAAGGGCCATCAAATGGCATTTAAATTACCAAGAAGAATCTTTAATTAGACTCATATACAATTTTATATATGTATAAATATATCTGTACTGTGCACAAGCGAATTTTTGTATTAAATTTAAATTTGTTTTTATATTGGTATATTTTATTCACAATAAATAATATGAAATAAAATAACTCAATGAATCCCATCAAATTTGTATGATGGCTCCACACTTTCCATTTGTAATTGAGAAAATGAGAAGGTTCATTAAGATCGCACCACTAGAAACCAAGCAAGTTCAGTCAACCCATTTATTATATTAAGTTGTTTCACATAAAGCGAAGATGAGGATAAATTCTAGTCCAAATTCAAATTTCTTTTCTTTTTGTTGTACTTTTTGTCCTTTATTTAAGCTAAGGTTTTTTTTATTTTTTTGGCTCATTTTTCTATATATATAGTACATTTAGTAGATGTAATTATATTTAGTTAGTTGTATTGATTATGTATGCATATGTGTGTAACTATCAAATACAATCACAAAGTGTATTTATAATTCATATTTCATTTTCTTTTATATATATATAGATATATATATATATATATATATATATATATATTCACATAAATAATATAAAAATAATTTTTATTTATTTTTCAAATAGCGAGAGGTTTTTATAATATATATAAATATACATAGAAAGATAGATAAATATATGTATATATATTACTCAAGTATAAACAGAAAAAGTAAGTAACTAAGGCATAAGCTGCTACTGCTCTGGTCAGATGAATCCTATAGATATCTATATATGGAGCTATACACACATATATATGGCCAAATCTATGCAATGAACATTTTCTCTCTCGATTTGTATTACAATTTATGTATAGCTCTTTACATAAACTCTATAAGCAGTATAATTTAAGTAGTTAGAATTTGTTTTATTCCTTTTTATCCAACCGTCTCCTGAGTCTGTGCTTATATACAAATCATTATATATATATATATATATCTATATAGTATATATATATATCAAATGCTCAGTCCTCCGTGAATGGATGATCGGATGTATCGCTGCTATTACGCCGGCGACTCTCCAGTATTTTGGTCGCCTGCTCCAGTGTCTCCTTATAGAACATATTGTCTTTGGTGCCGTCGCTGGCTAATGAATATTTCGTATCGTCCAAATGCCAGGTTAAACCGAGCACTATATTGAAAGCGGATGCATCATAGCCATGGCAGCCCGAATAGCGATAAAGGGGTTTTTTGTTGAATTTGCAGCCATTCGATTGAGCACCTAAAAGCATAGATACGAATATACGAGATAAGAGATACAAATAAGATAAACAATCAACTAATTTATATACCCATAGGGCACTTATATGCAGGGCATATTGATTTTTGTTAAGCAGACTTAATTGAGCTCTGCTCGCCGGTCTCTGTGTCTCTCCATCTTGAAATTTCATACATAAATTCACCCACATCATATGCAATACAAAATTCATAAAGTCAACAAAAATAAAGAAATAAATATAATAAATTTTATAATAAATAAAAATATAAAAAGTATTTTCTTTTTATATTACTTAAAGCTAATACATATATTGGTATTTATACGTATCTACAGGGTATCTGCTAGTTGTGTACGCTAACTTAGTTAAATAATGAATAATTGAAGCTCGGTTAAGCCTGTTTAATTGTGCATAATTTAGTTAGAAGTTGATCAAAACATGGAGAGCAATGGCCACGACATCAGGTAGTAAATCCCTATATATGTATTTATATAACGACTATATCTTCACCAGATATTAGCATACAGTGTGAACTGCTAAATGACGACTGCAACGGGCTGAGCTATCAATTCGATATAGCTGATCCAAAACTCAGGCGTCGCTTAGTGCGTCGTGTCTATTTCCTGCTTATGGTAATACTAGAACTATATTATATATCACATTATCTATATATATATATATATCTTTCAGCTAGAAGCTGTATGCGGCATACCCTGCTTGGAGATAGTGATAAGATTTTCTATATCTTACAATTTGCTTTATCTGCGCGTCTTTAATTTCATTATTTCGATCACAATTTTTTCTTTTCTGTATAAATTCCGGAATTGGCGCCGACCAGCTCCATATAAATATCTCGTTTATATGGCAACAGCTATTTTAACCTTTTCAACCAGAGCTGTTTATTTATTAAGCATTGAGAAAACACCCTGGGTGAGTGCACATACTATGTCCATATCGATATATAATAACATCTATCCAAAATATATGTCTTTAATCTATTTATAGTTGCATATGTATCCTGTAATCCTTACAGTTATACTCTTGATCTTGGCTTTATTTACCAAACAGCAAAAAGTTCGCTTTACCCATGGCATAGGCGTCTTTATAATCTACCTAACTTTTGGACTCTGTCTATTGCTGGCCTACTTTTTGAACGTCTTCTTTCACGTCTTGAACGCTGCCATTTGCACCTTGGAGGCCTGGTATATCATCTATGATACGCACGTGATGCTCTCCGTACACCATGCGTATCATATTGAGCCCAAGGAATATTTATTTGCGGCTGTGAATATCCGTGCCGATTTGCCACGTTTTTGGTGGATGGTCATGCGGCATTTGGTTCTGGGTCCTTTCATTTTATTGATCAAGATTATCAAAAGTTGTCGATTCAAAGAAATATGCTAAGAGTTTGTCTACGTAAGCTTAAATCTAATAAAAATATAAGAGTGAAAAATAAAAATATTTTTGCATAACTGAATCAAAGAAATGAGAAAAGATTGATAAAGAGTTGTGCTTTAAAATTAGTTAGTTTCGAGGGTATCTCCGCAGTCAGGTCTACCCATCTCAAGCAATCATATTTGTAAATTTAAAATTATGTTCTTTCCGATACAAAAGTCAAATGTAAGCAGCTTCTGTCTTATACAGTTATAGCTGCCCTAATTGCCTTATTCCATTAACAGAAATTTCGATTCAGAATGGGGATTACACAGTGCCCAATTATGTCTGTTCATATATATGTCAGTGTGTACATATATATATATATATACATATGACACGTTTTGCTATCATCAACTAAATGCGCTGTAAATGATGGTCATTAGGTGAGATTGTGGGTTATGAATGCGACATTGATTGACAACTACAATATGCGGGCAGCAGCAGGAAGCCAGCGAGCGCAGGAGAACTCCTGGCTAATGACAGCATATTTAAAGGGCAAAGCAGTGAACGATGGCGTAATACCCGCTCATTATATAGAAGAAAAATTAACTTGTGAAAAACAAAACAAAGTTGTAAAGAAGTTTTGGAATCCTCTAGATATGAATTATTTGCTATTAGCCAAGAGCCCAAAGGGTTGAGCTGTTATAGACTTAATTGAGCAAAAAAGCCAATATACCCACTTTGAATTCGAAATTCAAAACAATATACCCCTCTTTAGTATTTCACGAACGAGTATGAAGTGAAACTTACCAATTGGATCGATGCACTCCATGGTCAAAGCACATTTCAACCAAGGCAACATAATCTTCTCGGTCACGAACAGGGTATCCGCAAAGAAGACAACATCGAGATCAACCATGCGAAGGAATATGAAGTTCTCAGCGTCCGATTCGAAGTAGTCGAACATCTTTGGATGGGTGCGTGAGGAGACGGCCGTTGGGGTGTTCCAACCCAAGACGCCGGCGACCAACGCACGATTCTGCAAGTGCTGCAAGTCGCGATGGCTGCCACGAATCCGCACATAGTTCTCGACAAATAAAATCGATTTCGATCTCATCAAAGCATCCTTTATCACAATTGGACGATATGCGTGAGTTCGCTGATCGTTGACAAACGACGGGAACTCCGATAGATCATAGGTGATGACGGTGCAGCGACTGCTATTGCAGCAGGCATTGAGGAAACGCAGCTGCTCCTCGGATACGCCCAGATCGTAGATGAGCAACGGCTCATTTGGCAGCTTGGCTGCGATATTCTGAGCTAACAGTATCACCGACGACACCTGCCCCTCCTGCACATAGGTGACTATGGTAAAGTTTGACTTGGTATTGTTGTACGGCGTCGTAATCCGTTTACGTTGACTCTTCTGCTCCACCTGCAGCAGTAGCAGCTCCTGCTCGGCCGCCTGCCCATGGCTTGTTATCAGCTGTTGTTGCTGTTGCTGCTGCTGCTGCTGCTGCTGCTGCAGCTGCAGCTCCCGCTTCGGCGTAACGGGTACATCTGTTTGCACCTGCTTTGGCTGTGCTGCCGGCTGCTGTGACGCATCATCTTTTGTGCTCAATGGCGATGTGAAGCCCAAGAGCAGCAAATATTTTGGATCGAGCTCGAGCTTTTTGCGTTCCAGCCCAACGCGCAGATTTTCCTAGAAGAGCACAAAACAAAATACAGTCAGCGAGGGAGGTATATAAATATTGTTTATATCGAATCAGTTTATTTGTAGTTGAAGTTGAACAACTTTAAAGACTACCCTCTCATCTCTTTGTGTTCATTCAACAAATATTTACTAAACAATACATGCTCTATTGTATTGTATATTTAGCACAAAAAAGAACTGTTTATCGAGAGGAGACGGCGGGAGACTTGAGAGGACGAGAGGAGACGAGCTGAGGAGAGACGAGAGACAAGCGATATCTATGCCTCTTAAGGTAATGCTTAAGAGAAGGTATTTATCAAATTTGACGGCTTCAGGCGAGCTACTCTCACTTAACCAAAGTTTGTGCTCGATTTTAGTAGCTGAAAAACTCGAAAGAAAACCCTAATTTGTACTTTTGTACTCTTATACCTGAATACTGATATACCCGAACATTCTTATACCCATATATGCGTACTCACATATATTTTTCATATACTCTTATATTCCTATATTTGTAGTATAATGTTCTTATACTTTTATATATTTTCAAATAATCGTATAACCTTATTTTTCTATGCTCTTAAATTCTTAAATGTGTTATATTATTATATTTGTATACATTCTAATATTCTTATATATGTAGTCTTATATTCTTATACCCTTAATAGCTTATACTCTTGTAGTCTTATACTGGTATACTCATCTACTCAAATGTTTAGATACGCTTGTGTTCTTATATTCATATACTCTTATATTAAAATTCTGTGGTATTCTTCAGCTGTTATACTCTACTCCACTTATAAACTCCCACTCTTATACATCTATACTCTCACATCCATACTCCATTATTCATACACTTTATATATGCCCTGTTTACTGATTGCAAATGGGTAACATTATGGTAAAAGTTTTGTTAAATGAAGCCTAAGCTTTTAGCTTTCAGAAGTTTTTTTGAGTCGTAAGATTGTTTATAGTTAAATCCTTATCTGCGCTTAGTTTTTTTTTTTTGAGTCATTAGTATTATTATCGCGAAGCCCGCATTGGAATGCAGAGAAAACTGCATCGATATATGAAATTTTGTTTTGCATTTTCCTTCACAAGTTTCAATCAGCTTGGAACTGGCTTAAGGCATGATTCGAGCTAACTGCGCCTTGACACACACAGAGGCACGAGCAGCGCAGCAGAAGGTGGAAAATGCGGGGGTGGTGAGGTCAGATGGCGGATGACAAGCTGTCATGCGACCATCCTAGAACGTGGGCTTTCATTTCCAGGCTAATTTCGCTCGTGGACTGAGTCGCAAAATAAATAAGAAAAAAACAGAGGCCAAAACTCTTTACTGACATATGACACGCCCCTCTATAGACACTCTGGCTAGATGAGAAACAAGTAGAAGACGGGTATGCATGACTGGAAGATATCCTGAATTATTCAAGCGTTAAGCTCCCTTTCCTTTCACTGATCTGAGATGAACTGGTCAGAGCAGGCTTCACAAAGTCTCTACAGCATGCCTGATAAGTAATTGCTGAAATTTGATATAAATTTCATGGAAAATGGTCAAAAATTGTATCTCGGTAATTTAGGGCCAACCCAATATACTCCATTTATAATGGCTTCTAGGGTATAACAAGGAAAAAACCTCGACAGCAGTTGTTGTTGTCGCCCACGGGGACCAATTTAGGCGGGCAGCAGGGCCATTGTGAATCGAATTTGGTAGTATTATGTTTGGACTCTTTCTATTTGCCATTGGGAGCGACCCCAAAACCAAAGAGATTTCTCACATATGCGAATAGGAAATAGCGCAGCACAATGACTGCCCAGAATTTCCATGAATTAGATTAAGTGAATATTGATTAACTGAGTTCAAACTTGGTCACTTGAACAAAAGATGATGAAATTGATCAAAATCGATAAGAATCGATCTTAAAGAATTAGTGTAAGGATAGACTCTCGATAATGATAATAATAATAGTAAGAGTAGCATTTGCTTCAAGCTTCATGAGTTCACAAATTTTCATTGTAGAAAAATGGATATAAATATTTTATTATTATCCCAAACACAAAACACAAAACAGAAAACAACAAACAAGAAAATATAAATACAACAAAAAAAAACTTAGTATATTCAAAATACGCATACAATAAAAAAATAAAAACTAAAAAAATTAACTACAATTTAACATGTACAAATTTAAGATATGCTATTATATTAAAAGGAAATTCTAAACTATAAACATATAAAATACACAATGTTATAAAAAATATATTTAAATAAAAAATGTGAAGACGTAAAAAATATATTGAAAGACAACATTAAAATAACAAAAGTAAAAAAAAAATTAGTTAAATAATATATATTTATTACAATAGTTACTATATAAAAATCTAAAAAAAAATTAAATAAATAAATAACCATAAAAAAAAATAAAATTAACATTAAATAAATTAATACAAAAAATCTTATAAAAAAGAGTCATAATGAAAGCCGACGACTTAACGCCCGCGGAATTGCAGATATTCAAAGAATTCTTTCAACGGATCGACGTCGACAACGAGGGCGAATTTTCGTTCAAGGAGCTGGGCACTGTTATGAGGGCAATAGGGGGCATGGTCAGCGACTCTGATCTGCAGGATATGATCAATGAGGCCGATATGCATGGCAATGGATCGTTGACTCTTGAGGATTTTGTTAATGTTTTGTTGCGCAAATTATCGGAAATTGAACACGTCGACGATCTGAGGATGGTCTTCAACTTAATGGACAAAGACAAAGACGGGTATATTTCGACGACAGATTTGCGTAAAATTTTTGTCTCAATTGGTTTTCAGCCGAGCGATGAAGCACTCGATGACATGATACGAGACGGAGATACAGATCAAGATGGTGTCCTGATATTTGAGGAGTTCGTCAACATGTTAACCAGCGTAAAGTGATACTTCTGCATTGGGATCGTTTACTTAATAATTGTATTATTATAGTCTGAGTATTGACAAATCGACCCCAGAGATCAACGTTCAAAATAAATGCAGTATATATGAGAATATCTAGGGATACTTTAGACTCTTAATTCAACTTTTGACGCGAATATATTTAATATATATGATATATCAGTTACAGATTGTCCTCTCTCCCGGACGACTTGCCCAAAACTTTAATTAATTTATTAAAACAAACCATTTTCAGTTAGACATATTACTGCTACAGTTGATTATGTATTCCCTTTTACGATTTACCATATTCCTTACAAACGGTATCAATGGGCGCATATTCAGAATTTCAATACCCTCATGCGAGGGGAATACCTGACTAGGAGCTACCCTGAACACTGCGTAATATCAGCACTTTATGCAGTGTTCAGAGTAGCTCCTAGTCGGGTATTCCCCTCGCATGTGACTTGAAATGCGCCCGTTGATACCGTGCTAGGGAATATGGTAAATCGTAAATGGAAATGCATAATCCCATCAATCTAAGCTGCTTTCATACATGCATAGAAAAATCTCTTTCGATCTACTTTTACCCCATAGATTCTGTTTCATTCGAGTCATTTTATCACACTGTAAAGAATCAAGTTAGCTTTTTATTAAAAAATCGTCACATTCCGATTATAAAACATAAAATTTATTATAAATAGACATAAACATATTTAACTAGTTTCAAAAATCTATTGAAAAACTAAAAAATGGAGGCCACAGGATTTACATTGAACGAGGACCAAATGAACGAAGTACGTGATGCATTCGGAGTGTTCGATCCGCAGAATACAGGGAAAATAACGGGAAAACAAATGGGCCTCGCAATGCGTACGTTGGGCTATTGCCCAACCGAAGCGGAGCTGTACGATCTGATCGAGGAGATCGACGTAGATGGCGATGGCGATATCGAATTTATCGAATTCCAAATGATGATCACCAAACGCATGGAAGGCCTGACCAAAATTGAGAATCTAAGAGCCGTATTCAAGCTGATCGATCGCGATGAAGATGGCTTTATAGCGCTTGGCGAAATGCGCAATGTTATGCACAATATGGGCGAAAGGTGTTCCGAAGAGGAGTTCAATGAAATGATGAAAGAAATCGATGCCGATAACGATGGAAAGATCAGTTTTTCTGAGTTTGTGAATGCCGTCAGGAATTGAGAGATCGGTAGAAAAAGAGAGAGGGAGAACTTTAAATTATGGATTAGTTAAATACAGAAAATACATAAGCTCCAAATATTTGATATACAATATCAGCTTGAGATCGGTTGTGATAAGTTAAAATAATCCAAGAGAACGCTTTTGGTTGGATTCTCTAAAAAAGTTATTATATTTTAGACATTTCAGTCTATTGAGTAGAAGTTCAATAAGTTGAAGAGACAAACTGTTGCGGAAGATGAAGACTGGAGAGTAATACGTCAAGTCTTGAGAGACCTTTTGGTGGCTTTTTTATTAGAGTTTAAATTTAAAAGTTCTACATGAAAAAAGTAGTTATCTATAAAATTAAAGCGAAAATACAAATTAATATATAAAATCTAAAACTGTCAAGAAATCGAAATGTTTCTAAGCCTTTGGAAACGCCAACAAGAACTTTGAGCATTTTATTTTTCCAATTAGTTGAAATTACGTACCCAAAAAAAAGGAATTTATATATAAGGAAACAGCTGAAAGCTGTTTTAATTGGCCACTTAACAATTCTAAGCCAATTCATTTGTGTAAAGTCAAAGCAAAGTCAGGCGCTGGGAGAGCTTTGACCAGTCCTAAGCATGGCCCAAGTGACACGCAGCGCCATATAATCTCTTATACACTATCACAGAGTATTACAGCTAACATATAAAGTGTGTACTCTATATATATATGTGTACATATTCCTAAGCAAAGTGCAGAACAACTGTAGCCACGGTTTCTGTTAAAGGTCTCCTTTTTAAGTCTATGAAGATCTAGAAAGATGAAAGCCAGTGTAAAAGAAGGCATATTCGATCTGTGTATTTATTTAAGATATCAAAAAGAGTATTAAAGCTGCGCCATTTGCAGTGGAAGTGTCCTTAGCACGTGAGCGACAATTTTAATATGAAATTCCATTTGAGTTGGTCGCGCGTGACTCGAAATGGCTGCCGCATGTGCCTAATGGCGCCTACGAGGGTTACGAGGTGAGAGTAGAAGAGAGAAGACAAAGGGGAGGAAAGAGTTGAGAGCGGAGAAGAGGGACTAGTGGAAACTAGGCGCCATTGCACATTCAACGATTTTTACTGCATTTGTGCACTTTCCGTATTTCTCTTCTCTTCTCTCATCTCTCATCTTTAATCTCTCATCTCTCATTTCTCATCTTTCATATTTCATCTATCATCTCTCTTCTCTCATCTTTAATCTCTCATCTCTCATCTTTCATATTTCATCTATCATCTTTCGTCTCTCATCTCTCTTCTCTCATCTTTCATCTCTCATCTCTTATCTTTCATCTTTCATCTCTCATCCCCTATCTCTCGCCTCTCGCCTCTCATTTCTCATCTTTCATTTCTCTTTACGTTTCTCTTATCTGTATTCCCTCTGGTCTCATTTTTTCGTGGTCTCTTTTCTATTCTATCTGCTCGTCTCTTTGATATTCAAAGTAACAGCAAATTGTTATAAATTGTACAGGGTATATAAAAAAAAAGGAACACTGCAGTAACTATTTGCATTTTCAGGCAGTTTTATTGAAGGCCTTCTGGAAATTGGATCCATATACCACTTAAAGGTGAGCTATTTTTGCTACATTTGCCCATTTAACCTCTTTTTGATAGCTACTACTATACCCTGTAACTAGTGAAGTAGATGAAGGGCGTATTTCTATAGGCAACTATGAATTCATTTAGTCGGTCACTTGAAGAAGCGAAATTCATTATATTTATGGTCATCCATTTAAAGTTATAAACCAAGTTCTATAGGGTATCTGATAGTCGTAATTAACCTCTCTGAAATCTATTGTAAACTAATGCAAAACTGTTTTCAGCGAAATCTGTTTTGATCAGATCAGCTTTGCCCAGAAATAATACAGGGTAGCTGCTAGTCGGTGCTGGCCTATACCCCAACTCTAAGCGATATATATATATATATATATATATATGTCTGCAAGTTGACGCTATGCCAATGGTTTCTTTCTCTAGGTCATCGAAAGCTCATTTGTGCGATATTTTATTCAATTATTAAAGAATATCGAGCGCACTATATAGCTACATACATACACATGTACATACATACGTACATCAAGACGAGACATTTCACAGCGAGCCCTGCAATTAATTGATGTCAGTCGGAGTTCAGGGTTCACGGGTCAGACGTTAGACATTAGACATTAGACCACTTTAAGTGGGCAAACGGACTTGAATATCAATTAAATTAGATTAGGGCTAATAAAACTTTTCATAGAATTTACAATTTACAATTTACAATTAACAAATGAGTAAGATTAAAGATGAGACGAATTTTATAGATATTTATTTTGAAGAAAATGCCTGATAAACATACTTAATTTGTACACAATTTCAATGGGGATTGGATTTCTATTGGAATCATGTTGACGAAATATATACGAAATATAGTAGTGTCACGATGCACCAGCCTCGAGACGCTGAAGAAAGCCATTCTCAGTGAGAGGCGAGCGAGGCCTGCAAAAGGCCAGAGAGAGTGAGCTCATATCCAGCCAAAGTCATATATATATATATATATATATATATATATATATACCAATATACCCACTTCCAGCCTGAACGTGTACAACAAACCAAAACCTAAAATTTTGAAATGAATTATGCACAGAATTTGTCATTGAAGAGCCTCAAATTTCAACCCTTGTGGTTGAGTGCTATACGATATACAATTTATACATATATATATATATATTGTAAATATATATACATACAAATATCATATATATAACACTTGTTTTTAACTTCTTTTACTATATTTATTCATATAGATTTAGAGAACACTTGTGTTTTTTCCCATTGCAAATGTGCTTAATAATTGGTTTGTCTGGTTACAGATATGCAGGTATGTTTTCGTATAGCTATACAGGTGTGTAATTAGGAAGACTTCAAAGGCTCTTAAATAAGTAACCGAATCGTAAATACCCTCACTGGCATATACACTCATAACTTCATGTTAATGAAAGATTAAGATTAAGATTACTTAAATATTTTATATATATTTGAATGGACTTATCTTCCTATAGAGTATATTAGATGAGTGATCAGTTGGCTTATTTGGCCACTTTGAATTGTTTCCCGAAAGTGAGCAACTGCGACTTTTTACACCTTGACGTCAGCTTGAGCCCTGATGATAATCATTACAATTTACCATATACCACATCATCGTCATCATCATGCGTGACTAGAGTGCAAGCTTGATACTTGAGAGATATATATCATATATCGCTTGAAGCACCTTCGCTTGGGTGGCACATTTTGTCAACAACTTGAAGGAGGTGCCAAATGGGGAGCTGGAAAGCCGCTTACAAACCATTTCAATTGGCAATTGGGAAAGCAAATATTTCTGAGAGCTTTATGCAACGAGGCACATGCAGTTATTGATACTCATTCAAAATGGGTGTAAGAGGGTATAATGGGGGCCCTTTTATGTCAAAAATTATGTAAGTATATGTATAAGTATAAGTAAAGGTGTACGTATAAATATAAGTATAGGTACAAGTATAGGTACAAGTATAAGTATAAGTATAAGTATAAGTATAAGTATAAGTATAAGTATAAGTATAAGTATAAGTATAAGTATAAATAAGTATAAGTATAAGTATAAGTATAAGTATAAGTATAAGTATAAGTATAAGTATAAGTATAAATATAAGTATAAGTATAAGTATAAGTATAAGTATAAGTATAAGTATAAGTATAAGTATAAGTATAAGTATAAGTATAAGTATAAGTATAAGTATAAGTATAAGTATAAGTATAAGTATAAGTATAAGTATAAGTATCCGTATCAGTATACGTATAAGTATCCCAGTATAAGTATACGTCTCCGTCTAAGTATAAGTATAAGTATAAGTATAAGTATAAGTATAAGAGAATAAAGAAAGTTTGTCTAAATTATCGATAACTTTTTGCATTTCTAGAATCAATTTGATATTACACTAAAGTTCTTTTACCAATTATTACCCAAATTGGTAAATATACCTTTCAGAGCACTAACAGATCCCATTATCTTCTTATTAGGCACAATATTTTAAAACATCGAAGCTATTTAAATTATTTTCTATAGGGCTTCCTTCTAGTCCGACACGCCCTATATATATACATATATATAGTGTATAACTGTAACTGTAACACGACCTATCGCAAGTAAATGCAGCTAGGAAAAAACCAGTTATTGATAGTAACTAAGATGCGATGCCAAATAGAGACAAATCAAATGTAGTTAGCTCTCTGTGTCGAGACGGTGGGAACTAGTTTAAAGCAACAGCAAAGACCTCAATCACATGTATAACAATTATATACCCACACACACACATATATATGTACATCAGATATATATAAATATATATTTGTAGACTCTGTATATTTTCTCTTTTCAATAAATTGAACAAACAAATAACGAAAGATGTTCAGCAAATGAAAACTCAAAACAAGAGCGAAAAAACGTTGCTGCAAAAAGCTGAAGCTGAAATACCCTTAAATGTCTCTATATTATTTATATATATATATCTCCAATCTTTCCTCTAGAATCTTTAATTATCAATCTGAAATCTTCTCGCTTGTCCTTTCACCTCTCCTCTATCTTCTATCTTATTTCTTTTTCTCTTTTCTATTCTGTTCTTTTCTTCTTCAAATTTTTATAACTTTCTATTCTAAGCTATTTTCAAATATTGCCTTTCTGAGCGATTCTCACCTATTGTTTCTCTCTCACTTCTTGTGACTCATTCTAAATAGTTCATCCATATCTTTTGGGTTTTTACTATAGTAATGCTTATGCACACATATAAGATAGCTATGCATGCGCCCTCTACTAATAGATAACCGTAAAAATAATCGTAAATATACATTTTTACATATATACATATTTACATATTAATATTGGTAAATAGGAGTGTATGTTAAGCATCTAGTGCTGGGCATTTCTTATCTATATATATATATATATATATATATATATATATATATATATATACATGTATATTCGACTTAGTTCTCTCAATTCTAGGCAAGAAGAAACACTTGCAATTGTTAAACTCTTAGTCACGAATATAAAAAACTTGATTTGGCTAAGAAATTGATTCAATTTGATTAGATTCTTTACTTAATCAACAGAGATAAGATTGATTTAGACATATTCCAGCGACGGATATAAGAAATATCAGTTAAAACACTCAATAAATCTTTGATATATACTTAGACAGTGCTCTACCTACTTCGAGTTGCGTGTCATTTGATGTAATTCAAAACTAAGTTGAGCTAAAATGTTATTTAAAGTTAAACATGTTATTTAATACCCGAGTGGGAATGTGTTTTGGGGGCGTGCTTGGGGATGTGGAGGACGGCGAGTGGTTAAGGCCGGAAAGTAGCTGCCGCAATCTAATTAAAGTAAACAATAAACGTTCTAGCCACACACACACACACACACAGACCAAATGAAGGCAAATAAAAACTTGAGTCCAGGCTGTGGGAAGTCACATAAGTTTTTGTATAGCAAAACACGTGTGCTAGCTATAAAGAAACACTTCTGGGCAAAAGTATGTGGACATCAGGAGAAGAAAGATAAAAATTAATATAAAATATTATAGCGAACAATCTATGAATTGAAATATCTTTATATATTCGAACATATTTATGCATATACTAGTTGGCAAAAGTATATGCACAGTAATATAAATTTGACTAAGTTATTCATGAGAAATACTCAAATACTTCTGCCTACTTTTGTATATTCAACACATATCTATGCATACACTGCTATGCAAAAGTCTACATACAAAAAGTAACGTTGAAGCAATAAAATTATCGAATAGTTTTGGCTATATTATATACAAATACATTTCTATATATTCACAGTATAATATATTCTCATATGCACACATAGGCTGCATACCTATGCCTAGTACACAGCTACACACATATATGTATGCATGTACGCATACTTCTGCCTACTACTGTAATACTGTATCATTCACATTCGTATGCGTATTCCAAGTCTATATTCATAAAATTCTAACTACTTGTGTTCATTTTCACATATGACCTGGCATGAGTAGGCATACTTATGCCCTCTAGTGTATATTTACACAAACACAAACACACACACACACACGCACGCAAATACATATATGTTTTGTCTATTTGCCGGCACAAAGAAAGTTTTCATATGGAATTTGCATGTTAAATGCCTTCCTCGCTATTAAATTTTGTACGGAACTTGAGGAATTCCGTGGGCGCACCGGCGTAAATGATGATAGACGGACGAATGGATGGATGGATGGACAGCTGGGCAGTTGGCATGCCAAACGAAAAATGATGATATCTTTTGGGTCATTTACATGTTTGCCTTGCCTGAATGCCGGATTGCCTGTTAGCCGGACAGTCAAATTGCCGGACAGCCAAGTAGCTGGAGTGTTCGGTTATTCTTCTTGGCTGCTCTCTCGCTCTCTGCCTCTCTGCAACCGGAGGCTTGTTTCAATTTGGCTAAAAGCTTCCTTTAAATAGCGCTAGAGCTAATTTCGCGTGGCAGACTATTAAAATACCCTAACGTAATACGTAATATTGAATTGGCTTATCAGAGGCAGTTATGCAACAGATAAATTATGCTTTAACTTCCACGTCTGACTATGAAATACCCTGTGAAGAGCTTTTAAGTGTTACCATAAGGATAAGGGTTACCGTTAATTCAAAGAGTACTGACTGAAATACCCTGTATTAAGTTTTAATCAAAGTCTAAGAGCATTCGTACTGTCGAGGGTTGTCGTAAGAAGTTATATACAGTCTATAAATGTTATACGTGCAGTATACGGCACATTCTCTGGACATTTACAGGGTACAACTCAGCACAGCAGCTAGAAGCGGTGTTTTGTAGCCTTTAGCGCCGCTGCACAGTTCACACACAGTTCATTTGCAGAGCATTTCGATGGGCCTGGCAAGCGAAGCAGAAGCCAAAGCACAGTTCAAGGATTATGTAAATAAATTTCGATGCCAATTGGCAGACATTTCGCATTATCCATTGCCAAGAAAAAATTAAGAGACTTTCAAACTTGACATTGGGCTGCGACCGTTGACATCATTCATTGATAAGTTTTGAATGAGTCAAAGCCGAAGAAAACAAATGTAATTTTTAACAAACTTAAATAAATATATATCTACATATATCTATCAGATGTGTATATAAATATAAATATATGTATCTAGAGAGTATTATATAGCTTAAGAGCAGCTGATAAGTCAAGTGTTTTACTCAATGAAGTCGCCAGACAGCGTCGATGAAGAAAGGCGACTATCATTGTTGTTTTCACTGATAAGCATACAATGTTATCACAACAACAACAAGAACAACAAACAAACAAACAACAACACCAGCAAGCAAGAACAACTGTTGCCTCTCCTACTGTCTGGGTACGTGTAAACAAATTTTGGTTGCACAGGGCTTGGCTTATGATTAACGGAGATAAAGCCATGTGGAGGTCGTCTAGGAAATACTGAGAGCAGTTTGATAAGTTTTCTAATTAACAATTATATATACATACATATATATATATACATTGATACTTAGATTTCATACACATTTTATATATATTTTTCTATTGCATATCAAGTTATATTTTTCCGTGACGGCAATTTTAAATGCAAATCTCGGTTATCTATATGTATAGAAGATCGAAAATATAAATTTTTATAAAAAAATATATTTTAATTGAATTGAATTCAATTTATATTTGATCACATCATGTTTCTCTCCTACATTTGGGCAACTTTTCTTGCTCCCCTGGTAGATAGGTACTAAGTCTCACCTGAAACTCTTTGAGCTGTTGATGGGTCTGCACCACAATGTGCTTGAATGAATCGTTCGGTTCGCCAGCGGGTCCAAAGACAATGAATACGAGCGTTGCGATTATCACACCGATTAATATCAATATCAAATGTTTAGTTCGCATGGCCGCTAGAGTCGATTTCGATTTAGATTTCGAACTCGAATTCAATTTCGAATTCGTTTTATAGGCAATTTTGCGTGCAAAAATGCGCTTCAGCGTGAGTGAGGCCTCCAGTCTGATGGCCGTTCTCGAACTGCTCGTCCCAGGTTTATCAACAGAAATAGTTCAAGTACCGTTGGATTAAAACCATTTTAATAGTCCACTAAAATTCCATTCGAGTATTTATTTGTTTTTCTTTTAATTTATGATTTTGTATCGCCATTTAATTTAACTCTGCCTACGTCACATGGTGTCCGGCGTCCAATCGACGCCAGATAAATCCAATAAATATTTCTAACTCGCTACAAATGTCGATAAAGAGCGAATATTACTACACTGTTATACTGTTACAATATCAAAAACGGATATTGTTATACTATCATACTACATTGCGGTATATTGTTATTCTGTTTGCTAACGATATTATCTTACTATTATGATATTATCATAAAGAAAAAAAGAGCAAATATTGTTATACTGTCACACTGTATTAGTAATAATTTCATAATATTAAGCTGACTCACTTTTAAACTGCATCCTAACGATATTTTTATTTATATTGTGATATGAGCAACAATTGTTCGACTGTCAGACTATTATTCCCTTATACTACTGTTATACAGTTATACTATTATACTTATATACGTTTATATACTATTCTCTAAAATGATAAGATGTTATACAAGCTAACAACAAATTATTATGCTCAAGTCAACTGAATGCGCTTTTCCCTCATTTATTTATAGTTTTTGCACTGTGACAAATATATTTACTAAAACTATAAACAACCAACAAAATGCAATGTCTTTATATGTGCATAAACAAATATAGTTTACAATGTTTTTGTACTATTTAATGGCTCGCTAGATTTAAATTGTTTTTTTTTTTTTCAGATAGCTTAATCAATAAATTGTTAAAATCTTTATGATTTCGCTATATTCGCACACTTTTGCACATCAGTGTGTGTGCACACACACAGATATGCAAGCATAGAGACAAACAGTTATGCATATGTGTGCTTATGTGTGTGTGTGCCTTCACCTTTGTGGGTTGATTTTATGGCGCACAGCCAAAGCAGCCGCAAGGCAATTTAATGAATAGAGAAGCTAGCTATTCCTATTCCTGCCCTATGCAAGTGATTGAGCTCGATTGTTTAGCATACGATTTAAGTGGCGCTTCAAATAGGCGCCGTCTAGTTTTATTTCATTTTCAATTTAAAGCTTTGCCGCTTGGCTCTAGCGCTGTTGGTGTTGTGGTTGGTTTTTGTTAGTTGGAGCCGGCGCAGCCTCCATTGATCGCAAAAACTCACATGTTCACTTATTTGTAATTGCAAAAAAAAAAGGTAAAATGTTATCACATAGTTTTTTGCAACTTGTTCTTTAACTTTCACTTTCGCGAAGCGCCCAATAGGCAGAGCTGTTGTGCATACAAATGATTTACCGACAGCCGCGACAACCACTTTTCGAGTATAAACAAATGAAACTACTCTATAGTTGGTGATGTGAGGAGACCGATAGTTTTGGCATCCTTAACTAATGAAGAATCGTTTGTTCAAATCGATTACTAATTTGATAGCGATGAAATAAGAAAATAATGTTGAACTATTTGTGCGCTTTTTTCCTGGTATTATGGAATATCTACCAACAATCTATAGATTTTACTCGAATCTATTATCAAATTGTTATCGAATAATTTAAGAATCAGCTGTGTTTATGCTGCTGTTATACATATGCATTTAAAAATAATCGTTGGAGGATGTTAAGTTCGATTTCTCAGTCAAGCTGATGTTTTTATCTCCAATTGATGAAAAATATTGTTATTAAGCGAATGCTTAATTATCATTGACAAATAAAGTACAAAACTAATAAATTAGCAAAATCAGAAATTCTTTTGCTAACAGTTACAAAACGCATAAAACTTTAAAAGACTTGAGAGATTAACTAACGCAATATATCGATTGATAATCCATCAAAATTAAATTGATTGAAATACATTTTTGGTTGATCATCTTACTAAAAAGCATAAGCAACAATTCATTAAATTTAATAGTATCGTTTAGTTAATTTAATCTTTATGTTAAAAGTCCACAGTGCCATATGAGTATTCTAATAGTACTTGACTATCGTTAAAATGTCTATATGACTAGCTGCTAATTGTTTGACAACCAATTACACAACCGCATAAGTATCGTACATGATACTGTAAAATAACATTGCTGAAAAATGTTAACTCTGTTTTTTTAGGTGCCCACATTCGAGTAACAACCTCAGGAGAGGAACAAACAAACTGTATTTTCTGCAATGGCGGGACGCGAATTAACAATAACGCCAACGAAACGTGAGCGACGCAAGTCCCCAGCGATGGCCAGTTGTAGCACCAGCAGCGGCACCTCACAACAACCGCCGCCGCCGCCGCCTCCTATGTCACCAACATCTTCTGTGGCAGACACAACATTCGAACCAACAGTCGATATGATGGTAAATGATTTCGACGATGAAGCCACCCTAAACGAGGAGGAAGCGCTAGCAGATTTGGAGGCGCACAATGTGGAGGATGAGATAGCGACCTTGCGTGCAGAGAGTGAAATGCCCATTGAGCTACTGCTGGCCAAATATGGCAGCATGGAAGGAGATTCAGTTATGCGACCCTGCAGCAGCAACAGTAGCGGGGGAGGCAGTGGGTCTACCTCGACCAAGAGGCGACGACGTGCTAAAAGGCCATTGGAAGAGGACGAGCAGGAGCAGCCGGCGCAGACTAGCCAGGCTGAGCCGGCAAGTCCTTTGGAATACCAGGAACAAGCCATGGAACTAGATGAACTGCCCCCAGAGGTTACAAAAAGGTCACATCGTTCACATTTGCTTGATCTATATCCAGAGGAGCAGGCCTTGAAGGAACTGGAAAGCTGTAGGTTAAGATACGAAAATATTAAGCATAGCTTCTATAGCACAAATAGTAAAGTTCTCCATGTTATTTTCAGTTACTCCGTTGGTGACGTTGCTCGAACAAGCTGAAGATGAGGATCAGGATGAGGAGGATAGCGATGCTGATTCGGATGATACTAAAAAGATTATAATGGTCGGTCCCGATTATCAAGCTGACATACCTGAAGGACTTGCTCTATATGTTGCCGATATATTGCCCTATGAGAATGAGGATCAATTAATTTGGGCGCCTAGCCAAGTGAGCGAGAAAGCTGTCGAGGATTATCTAGCTAAGATACAGGAGACGCGTGCAGCTGAAGAGGGCGTGCCAGTCGAAGGAACAGAACGAAGTGAACTGGAAGAGAATGCCCCACCAGCTCCGACTTCTGCTGCAGTTGTTGCTGCAGCTGCAGATCCTATCCCCCCTCCAGCTCCTATATCTCTGCCCATCTCAGATGTGGAATCCGTGATCAAGGACAACGAGCAAGCTCTGCATCTTCTCGTGCAATGTGGCTATGATTTCAAGGAGGCGCTGCGTCGCAAACGTTTGAATGTTCTACCACTCAGCGATACGATGAGCAGCTGGTCGGAGGAGGAATGCCAAAAGTTCGAGGAGGGCATCCAAAAGTTCGGCAAGGACTTCTATCAGATAAGGCAAAACCAGGTAAAGCTCGAGGACACAAAGCACATTGGTTCACAGGCATTCGAATAGGGCGAAAGCACAGTGGTACGAACAGTTGAGAGCTTTAAGTAGATGAGTAGATTGGACTATTGTGAATATATCCGAAACCTAAATGCCCCTTAAATGCTTCGATGTATAAAAGGGTGTGAATGTATTGTCTAAATACCATTCCTTTACCTAAAGAGTGTTTCTTGGGGATTTAACTTTTGTTTTAAATATTCACGATGCGAAGCATTGGCTACACCGTATGTATTCTTAACTCCCTTAATACCCTGCCGGTACTTCTATATTGAAATATCAAGGTTTTAACTAAGGCTCGAAGTAAGTCCATATCGATTATATAATTGTAAGGTTTTTGGCATATATAAGAATAAGGTTCATATCATAAATCAGTTTCAAATTATTCATAAGTAGTAAATAAAATAAACTAAAGAATAAGAACACTCGTAAAACGCGCTAAAATTTTTCAAGTTCAACTAATATCGATAATAGATAAATCGATTATTGAAAGGAATTTTGAATTTGACTTTTTCATGTGTATCCTTTCAGGTACGCACGCGTACCATGCGAGAACTAGTTCATTTTTATTACCTGTGGAAGAAGAGCGAGCGCCGGGATCAAAGCTTCGCGCTGAACGATACCATTGATCACATGGATGTGTTCATAAATGAAGGCGCCAATGGAAATGGCAATGGGAATGGGAATGGCAGTGGCAACGGAAATGGAAATGGCAGTTGCTCGTCTCTTGCGAGCACCGGCAGCAGCAGCAATGGTCACAGCAATGGCAACACAGCGCTGGAGTACGCACAGGAAGTGGATGCAGGAGTCACAGCATCGACAGTGGCAGCAGTAGCAACAGCGACGCCAGCTGGGAGCGTCAGCAGAAATTCCACAACGAAAAACTATTCCATTATGAAAGGCGGAACTACGGCAGCTGTGGCCAGTCGCAAACGTGACATCTCTTTCGCACTCGAGGAGGACAATGTGGAGCTGGAGAATGGAGTGGAAAGCTTAAGCTAGGGTGAAACGGAAGGGATTGTTGGGGGAACAAACGGGGAGCAGAGCATTGGAGCCAAATGCGCAGGCGCTTGCGACTCAACGATGGATGCTGCTGCAAATAGGGCGTGGCATTAACGTTAAGAAAATCAAACATTCATTATTAAACACAATATCTATATATATGTGTATAAAGAGAAAAAAATATATACATGTCAATGAAATAACAAAAACTACCTCTCACCAAATATTACTCTCCTTCTTTTACTTCTAACTGTATTTTTTTATGATTGCCTGACTAACCTAACCTTATAAAAATGAGCGGCGAATTGACTGCTGAAAAATGCTTATGCTTACGTGCAAATTTATACAAAACCAAGCAATATACATACATGTACATACATACATTCATGCAAAGCTGTCTATGTATACGTCATACGGCGTACGTGCGTTATAAACAACGTAAGAGACTCGCATTTCTCGCCGCGAATGGCTTAGGCAGCACTTAACAGATTTGTAAGTATCTACATCATAAGTATGAATTTATATAATTCACACAAGTAAACTGATAACAAGATTTCACAGCTGTTTGAACTCCTTCAACTGCTGAAAGGATCAAATGTCAAGCCTCATCGGCAGATAAAATAAATACGCAGACAATTCTTATATTCGCCTTTGCTTGCAATTTCGTACTCACACGAGCACAATAACACGTACACAGCACGTACACATGAGCATAGAGAATCAAATGGGAGACAGTAAAAAACAGGGCCAGGCCCAGACGAACGACGATCGTGCAAAACGAAGTTTTCAGTTGGGTCTTGTGTTTCTACTGGTATCGATGCTACATATATACATTCATACACATACATATTTAGAATATGCACACATACATATGAGTATGGAGAGGCGTGCACATTTACGTGTGTATGAGCTCCTCTGTTCGTTTTTACGTTGGCTTCACTGGCGTAGCGTGAACATTTTACGTTCAGGTTCGCTCCATGCCACATAGCTCCAGCTCAGCTAGCCAGCCGACCGTAGTGAGCGAACGAAATCCAGTTTTGTTTAAAAATAAACAAAGCGCAACAACAGCGCACGCTACAATCCTCAGCGTGCAGCATATTTGTGTATAGTTGAGAGAGTGCTAAAGACTTTAGCTAGGATATGATTGAAGATTCTAGCTATAACAAGCTAAAAATATGACGGCGAATACGCTGAAGACTATCAGCTGATTGCGTGTGTATGTTTGTAGCTGGCTGGCTTTGTCAACAGCAACAGGGCATTTTCAATTCGATACGGCCGAAACAAAGTTAACAACCGTAAAGCGTAAAGAGGAGACAGCAAACACACAGCCGTCAAGCGGGCAGCGGAAGCTTTACATCCGGATAGTAGACGTCGTCGTCGTCGCAACAGCGCGTCGGCCGGTGAGTTCTTATGTTTAGAGCAAAGCCTGTCTGCCTGAGCCCTGCCTACGCGCTGGCTTACTCTCTTTCTCTCTCCCTCTCGCTCTGTCTGTTGTACTCTCTCGCTCTGGGCTGTTCGTACATATCTGTTGATCATTCGCTTTGCGTTGCGCCTTCGCCTTCGCCGCAGCCAAAAGGCACGTAAACTGGTTGCGGCGTCGTCGTCGTCGTTGTCTTCGCCGTTGCCCGTACGCCGTTTGTCGTGGTCGGTGTGGCGTGCCCGTAGTTTTTCTTTCTTTATAATTTTTTTTGTTGTCTGTTTTCTGTTCGGCTGCGCTCTTTTAGTCTTGGTGTAGCGCTTGAGCCGCGCGAATCGGACCTTCACACGGATCAAGCAACCGACGGCCATGGAGCTGGGTTACAGCAATGCGTCATCGGCTTCCACTTCGCCGCCCTCCGTCGGCGCCTTCGGCTTTACCAACACCGCCAAGCTGCCCATCGAAACGGTGAAGCGCCTTATTGCCGCAGTCTCTCGCCGTCCCATCCTCTGGCTGCGCACCAATGCGAATGGTCAAAAGCGCAGCGATATTACGCCCATTTGGTTTGATGTCGGAAAGGATGTAAATTTGCCAGGTGAGTTGAACAGCCCAAGTTTGCCTTTTTTGGCCAGGGCACAACCAACTAGCTCTCTGATTGCAAAAGTCGTATACGAAACATACTCAACTCATGCATATGTACGTATGTATGTGTGTGACCGTGTGTGTATGGCATGTGGTTTCCGTGTGTTTGGGAACGTACGTATGCATGAGTGTGCGAGTGTATGTTTGTACAGTGTGCAGTCAGTAAGGCGAATTAACAGCAAAGAAACTAAGCTTAAAGCTTAAAGCTCAAATATGTAAGCTTTAAAAAGCAATTGCCTTCATACAGTATGTATTCAATAGATGGAACACACAATTTTACTAATACTTAAGTTCTATACTCATAATCTTTCTTTGTGAATGATTACTGTGGTCGAAAATAATTTCATAAAACAATTTTGAGCGTTTTGATACTGTTCTCCTTGTACCTGAAGCTTACGTACATACATGCATAACGAGCATATATATGTTTGTTCACTTTAACGAGTGCACACTGTATAGATGTATGTATCATATTACTTTGCGGTTCTGTATTGCTTAACTTAGTGAGTACGTACTTACGTAGACATTGCATTGCAGATATCCACCATAGCGAGTGCACGCCGTACATATGCAGTATATTGCTTTGCGGTTCAGTTGTCAATCAGACATCTGTGCAACTTGCAACGATGGCTGTCGATTCATCATCCTTTTCTTCACCTTCTTTTTCTTTTCTCTTTTACCTGCAGCTGATGTATGCCGTGTGAAGTGGGGACACCTGCGTGATAATTTCCGTAAGGTGTACATACGTAACAATCTATCGAATGAATCGCCGTCCTCGTGGCGCTTCTACAACGATATGCGCTTCATGGAGCATGCGGTGCATGAGAACATAATGAGACAGGCGCGGACGAGAGGATCCGGCTCCAGTTCCAGTTCCAAGAAGCATCCGCCCATACACTGGACCGAGAACAATAATCACATCATGGACGAAAGTAGCAGCAATAAATATGATGAGCCAATTGTAGCTACCGAACCGATCTGTGAGCTTAGCGACAGCTACGATTCGGAGTTGCATCAGCCAAGTTTTTCGGACATCAGTTCCTTCTTTGAGGAGGAACAGCGGGATTGCAAGCGTGTTAAACTGGAAGATGTGCAGAGTAGCAAGGGTGAGGAGCTCAATGATGATGATTTCGATGAGGATGCTGCTTCGGAGAATGAGGAGGAACAGCGACCCGATCCAAGTGTCTTTACCATCGAAGTGCTCGATGATGAAGATGAGGAAATGCATCAATCTAAGGAGAAGTCGACCACCATCAAGAGCGAGGAGGAACAAATGAAGCCAACTGCTCTACAGGATTTGCCCTTCAAGTACATCAGCATGGATGCGGCGACCAATACAGAGCCCAATGGACAGGATCTCCAGGACGATGCGGATCGCATGTTTCTGCTTAGCCTGATGCCCTTCCTGCAGCGATTGGATGAGCGACGGAAGCTGCGGGTGCGACAGAAGCTGCAAAACGTTTTAATTGAAGAACTTGAATTTGGCTAATTACGCTACATTGACAATAAACGAGGGTAGTTCGAAAAGGAGAATAGTATTAAAAATTAGGTTATTTAAATTATAACAGACTAAATATATTTATATAAAGATGATGTTAACTCAGAAACTTTTCAAACAACCCTCGCAGTTAAATACAGTATATATAAATTTTAAGCTTAGCTTACAGTATTAACATATGCGACTGAAACACCCATTACATAGAATGTAAAAAGGAAGACGAATCGAATAAATAGCTACATTTTAAGATAACAACAGTAAACACCTAACTACTATGTAACTATATAACCTCGTTGTTGTGAGTCTGTATCGTGCCCAAAAACCCCCACCAGTTTAAGCATTACGCTTTAGCGGACCTTCACTGTACATAATTATGTGTCTGTACAACACGCATCGTGTAATTAGTGTTGTAAAGGACGCCTAGATCGCTTACCTGCAACGGGTGGACTGCGCACCTGCGCGCCTCTACCTGAGCGTGTCTGTCTGTCTGTCTCACAAAATTCCATGAAGCCGCCTTTGGGGCAACGTTTTCAATTTAATTTTCTCGACCAGTGAGCACAAAATTTTTGTCAGTGCAAAAGGCAAAGAGAGAGATGAAAACAAGTTCCTTAAGGGTGTTGTTTCTATCGACGACACAACAACAACTGTAAGCCGAGCGGCAGCAACAACAAACGAAACGCAAGCAGAAACAACAACAACAACAAATGCGCGCCACCACCGGTCATATTTTCGCGCCACCGACACATGCGCCGTTAATGTGCTCGCTCTCTCACGCTCTTTAGCATTGGCTCTCTTTTTGTGTCATCAGAAAAAAACACAGTACCAAGGCGACGCTTCAATGCACTATAAATATATATGACAAAAACCTTTGGAATGTGCTCCTCGAAATAAACGACTGCTGTTAAAATATATAATGAAAATGTAAGATAGGCAGCAGGGTAGTCTTAATAAAATGAATAACGTATACATTGCTGTTAGTTAACAGCTGTACTGGCAAAGCACATGTGTTAGTGTCATATGATTTCGCTTAATATAGTGTGCAATAACAAAAAATAACAAGCCAAAGGGGCAGCAGCAGCGTTGTCGTGCATCCAGTTTCATGTTTAAATGCGTGCGTGAAGGTTGAAAATATCGAGAGTGCTAAATACAAAAAGGAGCCCTGGTCCCCCAACGTAGCAAAAACCCCGAGAAGTGGGTCAAAATTATACGAAAAAACTCTAAACAAAAACAACAAACGCAGCAAACATGAATTAAAATTATTGCAAACACAGAACACACGCACAACCGCGCGCATACTTATTTAAAGCACGCACAACACTGTTATTAAATATTAAGAAGTATGTTTATAATTTAAAAATTAACAAAAAAAATAACAGTGCATGTTTTAAATTTGGTTAGCCAGGGCAGGGCGCATTGCATTTCTTTGCGCGCCGCATAAGTGAAAATAAATAGAAGATAAAACATAAGCGCGCGCACACACTCACGCGCACATAATTGTAAAATGTGCGCGTGCATGTAATACATACATACATACATACAAACGCATAAGTATACCCAATGCGATAGGTAGACAAACAGCAGAGAGAGATATAGAGAGCAAGCGGGAGCGTAAGTGAGCGCCAGTGAGAGAGCAGCGGCTGCACGGCGAAAATCCAAAGAGTGAAATTTTTGGAGCGCGCGCGCACGCAAACAACAAAATAAAAAAAGTGACTGAGATACATTTGGGCTTATATTATTTTTTGTTTAGCTACATAGATGATGAGCAAGCGCAGCAACAACAACAACAGCAGAGAAGAAGCAACACTCACGCACACATAAACACGAACGCATACAGTTATACATATTTATATGTATGTGTAGAAGGGCAGGCATGATTATTATGTTGTGTTTTTAGTCGAATGTATCTTTTAGTCGGGCAAAGGAATACACGAATGTCGGGAGTCGAAACGTATTACGCATGAGATCTCACGGTCTTGCATACCCATCAAAGAATCTCGCATGAAGAAAATATTAAAAAAAAAATACAAAAAAAAAAACTCCATAAAACGTAAATCAATAAATTTTATGCGCAAAAATATAAGCACAAGTACATCATATATTTATATGTGAGTGTGTGAAAAGAATAAGAAAAACCAAACTAAACGGTAAAGTTTAATATCAACAGCAAAAAAACAACAACGATATTTTCAGCGGCTTGCATGAAGCAGCTAAAAAAGGTGTGTAGCAAAAATACAAAACAAAAATTAACGGAAAAAACAAAAAAGAAAATGGAGCTTAAAATCGCAGAGGAATCGTTGTAAAATATTGCTTCAAAATCAAGGAAGAAAACAAAAACAAATCAAAATTGTTCTTTTTTTGACAATTTTACAAATTCGCCGCAGATATTTATTGATTGACAACAAATTTGAAGATTTTTGCAATTATAAATTGAGATTTTCTTCTTTTTTGCCGTTTGTATGTATAGCTCACACACACACACACACATACAGAAATACATGCATATCTACCCACCTAGAAACTTGTATAAATACAACCCTCATCCCTTGCCGTTTTTGCGTCTTGCACGTACTCCACACATACACACGCATACACAGCCTATTTCGTGCGCGTGTGTGTGTACACAAATGCAAAAGGACTTTAACTTCTTGGTTGATGTTGTTGTTGCTGTTGATTTCGTCTTTTTTTCAACAACGTTTTTGAGACACAGCGACTGTTTCAATGGAAATGTTCCAAGGGTGACAAGGGTAGTTTCTGCACAGTGTATTTTGTCTACACGGCCCAAAAATCTAGAAGTGCATCATTTTGTAAGGCCTTGCATACATACAAACACGCACACATACAAGTTTTCACTGCTGCGGCAGTGTAGAAGAGAGTGATGGAGAGAGCGAAGTAGAGAGAGCGAGAAAGAGAGCGGGCGAGGGAGTGTGAGATAATTGGAGCTGTTTCGGCGCAAAAGATTTTTTGTTTTGATTCCAGATTATTCTATGATTCTTAACAAATACAGTGATAACTCGTTAGAACAAAAATAATTATTGAGAACGATTTAAATTATATTTGAGCACAGATTAATTAAGATTTGTGAAAGAATTTTGTATGAGTTAAGTGGTTCGTTTCAGTGCACTATATAAGAATTTAGTTCAGCGGTTCATGTTCCACGCATATGTGGTTCAATTTTTAAAACTTGATTGATCTGGACTCGCTTATTCTAGTTCAATAATTGAACTAAGCTGAGTGGTTAATTTTTTTAGTTTTAGTTTAATTTTTGAAAAGTTATTTGAAGTAGCTATATTATTTCATTTTTAATATAGCCAGTATCTCCTGTGACACTTAGGAAAATGAACTGTGTAATTAGTTTATTTCACGATGTAGTACTTTAAAACTAATGCTTTTTAAAGCTCATTTTGAACAATTTTCTTTAGTCAGTCTTTATTTTATTAAATTAACTTTCAAAGGCAAAAGTCAACTGCAAAACGAGTTATAATGCAATCATTTCTTCCAGTGTAATCTCCATCTGTCGCTGCGTTTTCTTGTGTCGCTTCTCGTTCATGTTGTTGCTATATTTTCTGTTGTTGTTGTTGTTGTAAGAGGGGATGAAAGTCGGTCGGTCGTCCGTCCGTCTATCCGTCTGTTTTTTTGGGCGTTTTGTCGCTCCATCTTGAAGATGGCAACGAGCACAACAACCAGTTTGTGTTTTTTTTTGTACGGCATTCGAAGTTAACACGGAAATCGGGTAGAAATCGAGGCTTTAGGGTGTGGGGGCCTTTGGGGGTGGTTTTAACGTTTATCTCGAAAGTCCTATAAATAGAAAATATTTTGGTGCGTAGTTTTTGGCTTTTCATTTGTTTTGTTTTGGAAATTGTTTGTGGGTCACAGAACCCTTCTGCAAGTACAGCCAGAGTCGAAGGGTGTTGCATTTACACTAGCTAACAAAGCAAATGCAATTAGTTTTCATACATTTTCGAGAACAAAATATTTTCATTGAGCAAATTTAATGAAATTGAAAAATTGTTTGTTAATTGCATATTTAAAGGCAATTATGGTATTTTTCTAGTTCGAATTTGAGTTCGAACAGTTTATTAAACGGTGTTGGGGTATTTTATATTTATTATTCAAGAAATTTGATCAAATTTAAATTATTCCTATCTTGTTTTGATTTTCGAGTTCGAATTCGAGTTCGAAATCTTGGTTAAGCAATGCTCGATTGTTATAATCATTTAAGAAAATTAATACCTCGTATGTATTGCTTTGCATTCTTGTTTTTCGAATTCGAGTTCGAAAACTTTCTTAAGCAGTACTTTGCATCTGGCTTATTTCTGCCATTTTGTTTGCTTAAACGGAATCAGTGTCATAAATTGGGAAAATGCGTGCCAAATTCCAGGATGCCGCCAAGGCTATAAACTGGAAAACAATTTTTTTCCTTTTATTATTTTTTTTGACCTGGTGCCTTAAGTCTCTTCCTGAGCCTTGTTGTGCAGCTGCTCTTGCGGGTCGCATGCATTTTCCTAAGGGATCAAGCAACAATGGCCCGAGCCGAGACGTTTTTCCGCTACCTAAGACAGATGCACGCACACATGCAAGCAGCTGCATTCACACACGCACACAGAGAGGGTGAGCGAGAGAGGGAGAGGTAGAGGCAGAGCTGAGTCCTGCTCATTTGGACTACTTAATGGCAGTGCATTGCCCATGCTCAAATTAGTTAGCTGCCTACACGGCGTCTGTGAACTTCGCCTTCGCCTCGCGTTAATTTTCTAATTTTTTGGCGCGTTCCAAACGCAAATCAAAAACATATTCAAATAATAACAATAAATCATAATAACTGTTATACGCAGCTGTTATACTGAACTGTTATACGCAATCTCAATCTCTATCTATTTAGCTTGAGAGTGTCTCGTTGACTGCCAAGGGCCACGCCTACAACGCCGTTGCCACTTATCGAAACGTGATCTCAATACAGAACAAAATCTTATGATGGAACTCTTGTCAAACAATACGGTTCCACAACAAATGGCCAACAGCAATGCGCCAAGCGCGGTCACCGCCGTCGGAGGTGGCAGTGGCGTTGGCGCTTCCAATGCCGGCGTCAGCGTTAATGGCGGCAGCGGTAGCGGCAGCGGCAGCATCAGCAGCAATGCCAGCAACTCATCGGAGCGACTGCTCGCCGGCATACTGGAATCATTTCCCGCCTGGGATCTCAATGTGGGACTTATGCCCAATGTGGGCGCAGCTAATGGGTAAGTGAAATGAACC